AAAATCAATTTCAACAGGTCTTTCAACGTGTTAATTATGGGACCGTGGAACACAAGTACAGTAAATTGCCAAGCATGTATACAGATATATGATTGAATAACTACAGGGTGCTAGTAAGAGATGGACGCCCTATCGTGACACAAGGAATCGGTCTCTGTCAATGGCCATCAAGTTCGCCACTTCTTACGGTCTTGTGGGAGTTGGTTGCACCTGTGAAGATGTCTTGCTGGATCCTGGAATCATCAAGGTGTTCAAGGCAAGTGTAATATTGACAATTATTTCGAGTAACAAATTGTATGTACAGCAGTATTTTCGAGTTTTTTTTCTACTTCACAACTAGAACTGCACAGAAGAATTGTTCAGCAGACTGCATATATACACTATAATAAGAGATAACTTTTCACTAATGGTTGGAGAAATGCACATAAATTTTGTTTCCTTCTTTTTTGAAAAAGTGGCGCGAAGTCCCAAAACTCTTCAGGTGCATATAATTGTCAACATTTCTTTATCGTTATTAACTTTTCTAAAAAAAATATGCGAACCCTGTCGTGGACTTGAAATAACGTTTCCATTTTTAGAGTAAATGGAATTCTGCTGGAGCAAGAAATTCAAAATGCTCTCTCTCTCTCTATAATCTCAAACCTCTCTATCCTATTTACTGTACTGTTTATGGTCTGTCCCAGTAGGAAAAGAGACTGGCTTTGTTTTGCTGGGGAGAGCAAGTCAACAACCCAACGATCATCACTCACCTCAAGCGCCTCGGTGTCCACGGAGTCATCTACGACTGCATTGATGTGCACCAACGAGACGTGGAGAAGAAGAAAAAGGGCATTTTCGCAGGCATAAGTAGTAGCAGCAGCACGGCACACCAGCCAAGACCGATGTGCGGTAGCACGTCGAATTTGATCAGAAGACGACACACTCTTTGACTCGCACAACAACAAGGAACGACAACCATCACATTCGAGAGTGTGTCTATTGTAATGCATAATTCTTCCGATTTTGAGATTAATTTAGCATCTAATCTCTTCATAGTTCGTTGCCTACGCTCGCATAATGCTTGGAAATAGCTGAAGACGGAATACGGAACTTGAAAAGTCTTGTGTGTGTTCTTCAGCTTTAAAACTCGTCATCATCAATAAATCTGCCGTTACTGGTTCATCGTACTTTGCTCGGCCAGTTACTTGAAATAATTTGAAAGGTGCATTTTGGATTCAGAAACAAGCTTCCTTTTATTTTTAATGAGATCCCGCGCGCGTTTACAACAATTGAGAAAACTGAAATCAGCACGAAATGCTGAAGATTCTTCACAAAAGCCAGTTTCGAGACCCAGTCCCAATTGCATATTCAAGAAACAGTCCGGAATGACCCTCACGAAGTCGGGATTAGTTGTCGAAAATGCGGATTCGATACACGTGCTCCTTGCAAAATCCAGAACCCCATCTCCAGTAATGGAAGGTATGAACACCCTCATCGTTGCATCATCCTCTAGCATCAAGTCCTTTTGACCCAGTGGAAGAAAAACAACAGGTAATTGCGGCAGGGCTGCGTACTCTAACTCCCTTTCAATCTGCTTTTCTTTTTTGCCTGATTCGTGAAAGGACCAAGACGGATTCACGTCTTCCGCTGGTCCAGGAGATCCTGGACAAACCATTCGGGAATGACTCTCATCTTGCTCGCTTCGGGGTCCGACAGGCGGTTGCAGACCACAGGCCTGCCGGGACACCCGGGGTCCCAGCGGAATGAGTACACCACCCTCGGGTCATCCTCGGAAACCAAGTCCTTCACCCAGCGAAGGAAGGACAGCAGGAAGTTGAAGCAGGTTTGAGGGGTCCAGAATTCACGGGCTTGATGGTGCATGGTTTGCGTTTTCAGGCGCTGCACCCGCTTCACCCTCCCGCCGCCGTCTCTCCAGCCCACGTGCACAAATGGTATTCCCACTGTGAATTGCTGCGCCCACCACTTGAGCAGCTTGAACCTATAGAAACAAAATGAACGTCACAAATGGTATTCCCATCCATCAAGGTAATGAATTTTCAGTTTCTCTCCTCCTCATAAAACGAAAGAGTAGCTTACCCCACTCGTAGAATAAATTATTACTTGAAATTAATGAAAAATAGTAATAATAATAATTCAGCAAATACACAGTCTTTAATATATTTATGCCCCATTTCAGAGACTAGATCTACAATTGCCGTTCATTTTTCAGTTTTACATGCAAAACTGCATCTAATTCTGACGTGAGACTGGTAAAATTTTTACAACATTTGGACAAATTTCGGATAATTTTCGAAATCATGGTCAGTTTGTGCTTTTTTTCGTCGGGAAGGCAGTGAGTCAATCCTAGAACTTCCGGAATAAAACCCTTCCACAAATCCACAATGATTAAGTGTGAATCCATTCTGCATTTCGTAAATTCCGCCATTGCTGAAGTCTAAAAGATATGTAGTGCTGAAGTATTCATCTTGCCTCAGTTCAAGAAACGACCATCATCAATAAATTACAAAAAATAAAATTGGGACTCAAAACCTTTTGTAAGTGCGTTCTTGTCCCGGATGTTGAATCTCCCCAGAGACCTTGACCTCAACGAGATTTTCCGGCTCGAGTCCGCCATCGTGATTCAACAGTCCATCAATCTCTGCTCCATACAGCAGACAAAGGTCCTCAAGTTGTGACTGGAACACGCAGCACAACTCCTCACCCTCCACCAGAGGATCCCCCGGTCGAGGCGTCCCGTGAGGCTCTTCTGAGAAAAAGGAACCATACCGAAATACGTCTTCTTTTCACAGTACTCTACCGTCTCTCTATACATGAGGACGCATCAACGTCGAATCGTGTCTCACTGGCAAACAGAAACTGTTCAAACTTGTATCCCCAGCGAGTGAACTTCTCATTGACGTCCGTCCGGTCGAGTATTGCCTGAACATCTTCGTCCGTTTTACGTAAATCGAGGTAGATGGTTCCTCTGAACTTCGTCGCCGCAATAAGCCACGGGTTACTTCGCGGCCCTTCGAACGGAGTCGCCAAGATTTTGGTGAAAAGGCCACGGAAGCACACGAAATTCGCAGGCACTGGTCTGAGAATTATATGAAGTCATTAAGTTGCCATCATTTGAAATATTTTTCATTGTAATCTGAAGAAGTTCAGGATTTGGGTCTTATTTCTTTTGTTTATTAGAACAACTCTACTGTACTTGGGTTGGGTTCAACATTCATCATTCCTCCCACGCACGCAGATGCTGTTTCTGACCTTTGATGCTCAGCTCCAGCTACTGCAAAGCTCGACTTATTCAACGAAATCCATCGGAACAGGTGCTTTAACCCTTCATCCAAAAGTTCGTCCTTCTTGGTCGTTGCGTCAGCGTTAAAGGTCAATTCCATGGGTTTGGAAAGTAGTGCGCCACTCGGGCCATCAATTTCATCAAGATCGCAAGCCGGCGCGACGAAGTAGCCGAGATTTCTCGCGTCCGGGAAATATTCCCTCGCATTAGAGAGGGAGAAATGCCCAATAATCTTGGGTTGCTTGAAAACGGGAAAATTGCCGTTGTAACGTTGAGGATTCGTGGGCAGACGCTGACCCACATGTTCATCTCGTTCCCGTTTTTTCGCTCGCGTTGCCATTTTTCAACTGTTTCGAAAGAACGGATCATTGGCGAGCTAAATGCATTTCTCGGTCTAAAATGAACTTGGAACCTGACAAGTCACTCAGTAATTATTTATGTGCCCTTCGTTCGTGCGCGTAGAAAAGATCAACCCATGGCTGAATTACACATTCAACGCCCGACGCTTCATTTTGTTTTCGATAATCTCCCGTAATTTTCTCTGTTATCCCCCAAATCGTCAACTTCACCAGCCGATTGCAAAAAATAGCATTTTTCACGAGGCTAAAAAAAAAAGTAAAGCGACAAATGGAAGGATCACAAAACATCATCGGTGACTTCACGTAAAATGCAAGAAAAAGTTTGTTTCGTCGAGGCAGCGATTGAGTCTGCTAAAAAAAAAAAGCGGAGAGCTCCAGAAAAACTGCAACGAGGAGAGTTCAATTTCCCTGGGATTTACAACACTCATTCTCACGATTAGAAGAACAAATGCGAATAGACCAGGTTCAAAATATATATATATATATATATATATATATATATATTTAAAGGATGAAAATTCACAGAAAAATTATATAATTTCTGCACAACGTCCTTACTCAAACGCAGAAAAGAGGACTGGGCAATTCCGAGTTTTGACATCAAAGCTGAAGCTGTGTGCAGCATTTCGTAAAGCAGACAGAAAAGCTGGATCCCAGAATATTCATCCGAAGCCAAAATCAAGCCACAGGCTGGTTCTCCAGGTCTCGGACAAACCATTCGGGTATAATCATGTTCTTCTCCTCAGGGTGCAACAGACGTTCGTTAGGTTCGTAGACCACAGGCCTGTCGGGAAGTTTGGGTTTCCAATGGAATTCGTACACTATGCTTGGGTTATCCTCTTGCACAATTTCCTTCACCCAACGGAGGAAAGACGAGAGAAAATTGATACAGATTTGAGGAGTCCAGAATTGTTGGGCATGATGAGGAATGGCCTTAGTGTTCATGCGCTGCACACGCTTCACAATTCCGTCCAAGTCTTCCCATCCCACGTACACAAATGCTGTTCCCACAGTGTACTGTTGCGCCCACCACTTTATAAGTTTGAACCTAGAGAACATAAACTGGTCATACGAAGTAAACTGGTATCAATGTACAAGATTAACTGTCTTTGCCTCTCACGGTAAATTAATGTCTAGAAAGTACATGAACTGGGAGTCGAATGCCGCATAAACTCATAGTTTATTGCAAAATAGGAAAAATGCACAAGATATTAAGTTACACACATCAATCTAGTACAGCGCAATGAAGTATATCAATAAACACAATCAGCCATAAATAAAGCGTGAGCAGAATTTACACTTCTGAAGGTAGAAAAAGATCAACTGAGAACAACCAATTCGACCCAAAATTCAACTTGAAAGTGAATAACCAATCAGCTCAGAATTCACCCCTCTAATCTTATTTTGATGGACCTCAGCTGAAATTGGTAGCTGAATTGGACTTCTGGGATTCTAGGAAGAAATCTCAAAGTTACGCACGTATGCCCCTTGATCAAAATCTAGAATAGCCTAGGATATCACTAATAAGAGCAGAGGATTTCAAAAAGACGACTTCCAATGCACACACTCGTCAGCATCAACAAGAACATAAAAAGGAGAAATCCTCACTGAACGATCCAGTTTAAACTGAGGTTGTTCAATGCACTGATTATGAATAACAGCAGGGGGTTGGTACCCTTTTTAAAGTTTCAGGTAACCTGACACTTCTCCATTCTACACAAGTGAAAAGGAGAACAGGAATGGTGTTTAAACCCCTGATTAAAAGCTTGCCCATATGTTTGTATGCACCAGGAAGGGCGAATTCGGTTCTTTAATGCGTGTATAATTTATTACGTTTACAGTATAAAAATCACATGATGAAACGTTGCACGAATTCATTTAGAAATACAATATTAAGGCTTGTGCATTGAAGTACAGTACTGTATTAAAAACTATTCCAGCTGCGCAGGATTCAACCGACAATCCGTCGCCAGCCACTATCAGAAAAGGATCCCCAGGACACACTCGTTCAGAGAGTTCGAGCATTTCATATGGGTAAAAAAGAGGAAAACGAAAAAAAATACTTTACCGTTTGTAAATGAACTCTTTTCCTGGTTTTAGAAACTCAGTAACGATTCTGGCGGCAACGAGGTTGTTTGACTCGAGTTCACCGTCATGATCATATACTCCATTGATTTCAGCATCGTACAGCAATGAAAGGTTGTTGAGTTTCGTCTGGAATACGCAGCAGAAACCCTCACTCTTGAAGGAAGGCTCTTGTGGCTGACACATCCCGTGAGGCTTGTCTGGATACAAAGAATCAAGTTATCCCTGTTGAAGTTTCAATGAAATTCAAACGAACGCACGCATGTTGATTTCTCACCAACGAAAACGAATTTATCAAAGTTGGATTGACAGCGATGCCGGCTACAAAAATCCCGAGTCTCTCGTTCGGATCTCGCTGAACTTAGGTAGATGGTTCCTTTGACTCTTGTAGCTTTAATAACCCATGGTTCACTTTTACTCACTCCGAAAAGGGTCACCAAGACCTTAGTGAGCAGCGAACGAATGCAAACGAAATCTGCAGGTACTGGCCTTGAAAAAAAAAAACCGGAAAGGATAGAAACATTCCATACAAGCCAATCCGAACACGAGGAGAAACTTCCCTCGGCTGGATCGGCAGAAGTTCCATTTTGAAAAATTGAACTTCAAACCCGGGCAGATTTTATTTTTATTCAAGAGCGACAACTGACCTTTGGCACTCATCCGTGATCCTTTCAAGCTTCGACTTATTTTGCGATATCCATTGGAGAAGGTGCGTCAAACCCTCGCCCTCTTCGCTCACACCTTTCTCCTCCTTCGAGTCACCGATCGATTTCAAGTCCATGGGTTCGAGAAGCACTGCTCCACGTTCGCCTTCAACATCACCAGACGCGAAAGTCGGCTCAACGAAGTAGCCAACATTTCTTGCGTCTGGGAAATATTCTCTCCCCTTGGACAGCGAGAAGTGTCCGATAACTCTGGGTGGCTGGAACTCAGAATCGTATCCATCGTAACCTTGTGGAAGTGTCGGCAGATGCTCAGCCATTTTCCAGCCGTCCTACAATAGAAAAGAAGTCCTTTCGTAAAATTAAGACCAAATGCGCATGCTGGCCAGCGATATTATTACAGCACCTCTGGTCGGGTGGATCAAACCCATAAAACATTGAAAAATAATGGGGATGAAATTCAGTCCTCAGCCAGATAACATGGCGAAGAATTTCTTGGAAATTGAAAGAAAGTTCTCAATTTGAAAATTTTTAAATCAATTCTTTTAAAATCCAAAATTCCCAGCACATCAAAAATGCCCAACACTCAGCAGGAATTTACACGTACAAACGAACAGGTCAAAATTTGAAAACGAAAAGGAGGAAAATGAGGCACTAAAAATTAAGTTGTTTTCACAATTGCACATGGTCAGATGAATTGTAGAAATGTCTGAAGGAAACAATTCCCTGCGTCTCATGAGAAGCACAGTGGTGTAGTTTCTCGCCGGAGCAGAAACTACGGTGGTGTTTCTCGCCGGAGCAGAAATTCACGACTAGTAAGAAACAAGGTTTGGACATGGCAAGATGAACTCTCTCCAACTTATCACTTCCACAAATATAAATGCATTGTCGTTTCTGCTTTTCTTCTTCCAATACATACACACTACACCACCGTGCAATCTTCTTCCTGAAACCTTTTTTCCTCATATCTACGAAGTCTCTTTTAGCTGGCGTGAATTTCTGCTTCCGGCGAGAAACTACACCACCGTGCAATCTTCTTGCTGAAACCTTTTTTCCTCATAATCTACACAGTCTCTTTTAGCAGCTCCTAGCAATTGGTTGTCACTGAAACTTTGTCTTGTGTGAATTTATTCATTATTGCCTCTTGAAATACAATTATTCTTCTCTTTTGTGATTCTACTGAGAATCCCCTGCCCTGTTCCTGGGTGGATTGTTCGTTCTCATTTATTTATTGCTTCGATATTCATTTTTTGTGGGCCTATGCCCTACAATGTCCAGGGAAGACTTGTGTGCAAGTCATGAACAATGGTGCACTTTTTCCACCAGGCTGACCAGAAAAATAATGCAGGAGTTGTTTCCACCAAAAATAAATGGGATTATCCTTTTACATAGTAACAGAACCAAAAAAGATACAATATCCACTTCACAAAAACACATGCTTGAGTATGACGTGTTTCATGATTTTTGGGTTTTGAACTGAGAAAACATGGTTAGCCAACAATCAAATACAGTATTTTAATTTTTTTTCAGCGCCGAATACCAATTTTAATTATATAGAAAAAGAAGAGTCAAAGCAGGACAACAAAATACAGTACTGAACAGTATCTTAAATCAACAAATCATTAAAATCCATATACTCATCGGCAACACATTTTTTCATGTATCACTCCCATACTTGAGTTTCCAACTAGACTAATTATCGCTAAAATAATCAATGCTGGAGGTGATATTGTGAAGAGAGCAATTGAAAAAATAATTCTTGTTCAGGAGCCAGAACTCAGGAGATATCCTCCCAGGAAATTACCTAGGTTCAGATGTTCGAGTGACTTCAAAAAGTCACGATGCATTGCTTTTTGTAGGTTTTCCTGCATACTTCGTTATCCTGTATCAGTGCGTTTTTTTTTTCTTTTGGAGAGAAGATTAGTAAAAATCGAATGAAAACACCGATTTGGGTGGGCAATACACTTTATGTTGAGTAATTAGCTTAATCTGCTTCTATAAGTACAGCATTTTACTGACTCGGAAATATCATCCAAAACGAGAAATATCTTTGCTAATCTAATCAGAAATGTGAATTTACAATCACATGTTACGTGTGCCTTTCTAAATAAGATACACATACTGTACTGTGCATCGGTCTCCTTAAAGATTAAAAAACAAAAAAATGCTGACACTCATGTTTCCACTCATGGGGGACACTCATGTTTCCTGAATCACCTCTCATCATTTTCTAGATAAAATACAAAACGTCGTGCGAGTGTCGAAAAATCTGAGATTTTTGCAGTTGGTAAAACCACAACTCAGACTTGAACACTTCTCTTCCCAGTTTCCAATACATCTTATCATCAGGGACTTGGAGCAGGGTAAAAAAAAAGTTTGCTCCACTCCAGACACAATCACCTGCTCCTACCTCCGGGCTGGTGTTCTGCTCCAGTGCTCCTGAATCATTTCACCATAACAATGAATCTTTGCTCCTCACTCTTTTCACCATAACAATAAATCTTCACTCCTGACTCTTTTCACCATAACAATGAATCTTTGCATAATTATTTTTTTGCAATAACAATTTGTATTGGTCCCAGCAATTGTTCCACAGGAACAATGCTATAAAGATTTTATTTTTACAAACTAATTTTCATCAATAATCTCATTATATAGATTTTTTATTACAATATATGTGTGCTCTATAGGCAATACAAATTTTCAATGCTTGTCACAGACTTGGAAAATCTGACTTGAATGTACAGTGATAAAATATGAAAATAGGGTATAGAAATTATAATCTTTGTGGATTTATATTCAGCTACAATATAGGTAGAGGTCCATATGGGCCACTACCTATATTAAAGAGATTCTGTAAAAACATTATGTGAGTAACACTTTTTCTCATCCCCTGAATTTTCATTTATAGAATAGTGTTTCCCAACCCATGGTCCATAGACCAGTCCCAGTCTGCAGAAGTTTTTTGCCAGTCTGCAGGAAATTTTCCTCTGCATAATAAATCAAAAGAAGCAATGAAGTCTGTTATTTTTATCTGAAATTTCAGAAAGATAATTGCAGTTGAATTAATGATGGAAAATAAAAGTTGGCTTTTCTCCTAATAACACTTCAGACAAAATTTCACCTGCTGAAACAAATTTTTATTTTTATTCAGAGAAACCTTTCTTCAAGCTGATTTCTCTACATTTTTGAAGACATTCCACTCTACTGTAGCTGCGTCATTGGTACTTGGCTTAATTTTTTCAATCAAGCAAAACTTAAATACCTCCCATGAAGTCTTTTGAGCAAATATTTTTGAGTCTGCAAAAATGTTATGAAACTTTGCCAATGTACAGAAATTATTTTTTAAATGTGCCAGTTTTCAACAACAAAAAATTTCTGAAAATTTCCTGGTTGGTGGGCCAAAAACATTTGGGGAACACTGGTCCAGATTATAGAATATGAAGTGTCCACCTGTACTGTAGTAAAGAAATCAGGGGATGCATATTTCCAGCAAGATGTTAATGACTTATCATAGGGGAGGGACTACTGTTGGCTGGCACCAGCCAAACTATCACATGTAGCAGGGGGTGGAATTACCTTGAAAGACCTGGAGGCAACCCTTGGAATTAATGCCATGTTGATTTCAAGAATTCTTAGGGGAAAGCTGGGCTACAACAACAAAATCTGCAAGAAGGGGAAGGGGTGCCTCATATTTTGAGTGGAACTCTGCCAGGGTGACTTTTGTAAAACATTCAAAAAATGGGTCAAACAGGGCTGACTCTTTTTTGTGCCAAAGAACATGTTTTCCCATAAGAATAATTGTTCTCAGCTCATTTATATGCCTTTTCAATTTATAATCCAAGAACTTTTGTTAGACCCCTTGTCTATCTCACAAACTAACCCATTTTTTTAGATCTCATTGAAAATAAATACAATTTAAGCATGGGATACTTGTGGTGTTGCACACAAGCATCCACATCTTTGAGGTTTTTGAGAAAGAAATTATTCAGGATAACCCCTCTCTCAACCTAATAATAATAATTGAGCAACAAGAGGAAGAATGTTTACGGTTTGAGGACTTGACTGCCTTGGAGGGAGGTAGTTTTGTTGACCGGTGCCAGCCAAGCAGTCACATATGGCTGAGGGTTTTCCCCGAATTTATCAAATTTTATTTGAGGCCTGGAGCCCGGAGCAGCCAAAAATTTTGCCTGCTCCGGGCTCCGCTCCACTCCGGCTAAAATTGCTCTGCTCTGGGCTCCAAGTCCCTGATTATTATGAAATACAGAATGGAGCACTGTACCAGGGAAGTACAGTTTTACAAAATGTTATTATTGGTAGGAAGATTATTACTGAAGAATTTTGAATGAAAAATTTGATTAAAAGTTTTTATTAAAAATTTCTTGCAGGTAAAACCTTCAAGATTTTCAATAAATTTCATCATTTAACATGCTTTCAACCACTGCCTATGTAGTTCTGTACTATTTCATTCGTAAAACCTTCATATTATTGGATTTTCAATCCCAGACGCTCCCGACTGGCGGCAGGACGCTCCCGCCTGGGGGCCGGACACTCCAGACCGGGGGTCGGACGCTCCTGCCCCTGACGCTCCTGCCTACCCGGACGCTCCCGACTCCTACACCGGAGCAGTGTTTTTAAAACGGACGAGGCCCGAGGCGAGGTGAGGCCGATTTTAACGAGACGAGACCCGAGGTTCAGGGACTAATAATACTTTATGTCTTACCTCGTGACATGGTCCCTTCATGTCAAAATGTTTTAAATAATAAATAAAGAAGCAACAAACCTTCTGCAAATCCGCTCTTGTCTGTGGTGTTGTATCTCCAACGATACTCTGACAGCAACGAAGTTGTCAGGCTCAAACACGCCATCATGATCCAATACTGCACTAATTTAAAACCCGTGAAGCTAAGGAAGGTCGTCAAGCTGTGACCGGAACCGTAGCACAAGTCTCCGCCGCCCACGAAAGGCTCCTCTGCTTCAGGTTTCCCAAAAGGCTGTTCTGAAACGAGGAATCGTCGAAATACAGTAGTTTCTCCTTCTGCAGGTTCCACCATTGTGGGTAAGGACTAGCGCATGATGGCTACTCACTCATCAGCGACACTGGCCGAATTGGGTTATCCCCAGGGAAGGAGTGAGACTCGTAAGTGCGGTCAAGAACTGATTGAATCTCGCTTCCAGAACCTTTGTACGGTGTTGTAACAAGGAACAAATGCAAACGAAATCGGCAGGCACTGGCCTAATAGGGGAAATAACCCCACGTATTCGAAAGTGAAAAGTTCCACGTAAAAAAAAAACCTTCGGCTGCTTGAAAACGGAAAAATATCAACCAAGTTCTTGTACTAAACGTCTTACTCATTGAAAAGTTTAAATCGAGATCGAACACGTCACTCAGCAAATTATTCATGTGCCTTCGGTCGTGCGTACGTAAAACAATCATGTTCCACGGTTAAATCACATTTGATAAAAAAAAATCCCATCAACATCTGACGTCCCACTCAATTCAGCACACCAGTAAGTGCATCACAGAACATTTTCAAAATCCCTGAAGGAAAACAAAAATCATACAACAACAACAAAAATGCACGTTCGAGGACATCCCGAATGTCTCGGCAACACAAGTAGTGTAATAAAAAAAAGAAAATGTCAATAAGCCCACAGCGCTCCGACGCGTTTATCCCACCGCATCAATCTTTCTTGCTGGTCCACCAATTACAACGTCTCTCAGAAGCACCAAGAAATGCTTTGGACGTCACCCACCCGCTGCTTTCGGCAGATTTCAAAAAGTCTTGGAACGTCCGCTCCACGAACTCCATCACCACAGGTGCCGGAGATCCTCCTGCTTTCGCCCTTAATTCCTAGTGAAGGGGGAAAGAACGACAAAAAAGGACAGCAAATTCGTCAGATTAATCTTTTTTCGCTGCATTACTCGGAGTACTGTGAAGTAGCGCACTGCACCTTCAAATCTGCCTTCAGAGGAAGGGACATATCTTGGTGGATGTAGTCTCCGTAATTCAAATCTGGCCTCAGTCCAATGGCCACTGAAAGTGTCAACAGAACATGACCAGGCGATCCCGTCCAAACATCTGCCATCTGAAAAAGACGAGCAAGACTCAAAACACATGACAAATCGATGAAAGGTCCAGAAAAAAATGTCTCACAGATAAGCCCGAAGCAACGAAGTTGGCAACAACAGCAGCGTAATACGCTTCAATGAGATCCACAGGACGAACCCCCTCTCGTAACATGATGTGGACCGTATTATTAACTTCTCCACTTCCGAATCGCTTCTTTGCCGGGGTCGTGATGAAGTAATCCTTTTCCTGGAACACTTTCATGAAGTGATACCGATTTCTGGCAGACCCAAGGGCATCTTCGACAGAACAACCAAGGACAACCCGGGGTTTCAGTGATCTTCCAAGCAGAATACCTGCAAAATTGTTCGTTAAATGCCGTCCGGGCTATCATCTCCCTCATATTTGCCCGTAGTCCTTAATTTACAGTAATTTTACCTGGTGTGGGTAAAACAGGCTCCAACTTGTTGGCTTCGCTGACACCGAGGATATCACCGGTTTTCAAGTAATGATCCACAACATGCTGAAGTCTCCAAGAGTTGAAGACGTTGAATTCAAGTGCAGTCACCCCTCTCCAATTAGCATACAGATGTATGAAAGTTAGCATGGCAATGGCGGCGATGATTTCCCTGAATCAAGTTTCATTTTTTCTCTTTCTTACAATCATGGTCAAATGAACGCCCAATGATTGCCCAAAAATGCCCTCACCAGGTATCCGTTATACTGGGCAACATGAACATGGATACGATGAGTGCGGAGAGGTTCACTAGAGTCTCTTGGCTGCCGTCTTTTGCAGACACGTCCCCCAAGTTATCTCTCAGCGCCTGATCGTAAGATACAGATACTGTATGTGAAACAGATTTCACGTGAAAACCACACGAATGAACTGAATAGAAAAACGGGACATAATCCGATTGTAAAAATAAATAAAAAACAAGAAGAAAATGACTCTGAAGTACTGTATACTGCATTGTATAGAAAAAAGGGAAAAAATAATGTCACCTGATGTTGGGTGACGGCAACTCTCGTAGCAGCACCCGCAACTCCTACCAACGCCCGAATAACGCTCCCGATGCATAGGATGGGCGTGTAAAGCCACGGAAATGCTCCGCTCAGCAGAAACATAATCGATGCCAGATCGTTGGCAACATCTGCAAATAACCTCCATTGCTTGGAATTGCAATCCAGATCATATCTAATAAAATATTTACAGCCCTTAATGAATTCATACAAAAATATGTGGAATGACACGCGAACATACCCTTTCCACCAGGCAAAAACGATGCGACCCATGTGACCACAGCCATCTTTCAAAAGCCATGACAAAGTGGCTCCAAGTGCCGTCGCATTTTCGTCACCCACACCGGCACCCACTAGAACGGCTCTCGTTGCCAATGCTCCCGACAAACTGCTCGCAAAAGCCTATGAAACAGTCCATTCGCTCAATCAAAGAAAGAAACCTCGCGTCAAACGTGAGGCGAGAAAAATTCCCCAGGGATAACTTTTCAGATGTAACTTTCAATACGACAGAAAAAATTGAATAGAGACAGAAAACGCGGATACGGATCGTAAGTGCCGACTCCGTTGCGAAGAGAACAAAAAATCACCGGGCACAGTCTGAAGTTCAAGCAAACAAATTACGCCCAAAGAAAAAGGAAATCTATTTCCAGCGTCATTTCTTCTTTCGAAATGCATCGTACCGTACCTGCAGTGTGTCCCAGATCTGATACTCCACATAGTCCCTGCTGACGCTGTCGGGGTACCCTTGGGGCATGAAAATCTCAAAGAAGGCACGGGTCAATCGCCTCCGAAGGCCTCCCGGCGTGGAGCAGGTCTCCACTTGACCCAAACGCCCGGCGTTCACGCGAAACGTTCGCTTCGCGCGCAACAAACTTGCTGTTTCGTTGATGGTACACTCATCCGTCACCGCGTCGACGAGCGTCGGGTCACGGTTTGAACCAAACCGATCCATTGCGCTTACGAGACTTACCAACACTTTTTTTTCGATTTCTAATCAACAACCCCACAAAGTGATGATTTTCACAACAGAAAAACAGAAGCGAAAGAAAAAACGGCAAGGAGAATTCACGATTCAGTGCGGACTTTTACTCGATCGAGGTGCTCTCACAAACGGAACTGAAAAACATTCAAGTTTCTAAAAAACGGAAGGAAAGCGAGGAGCGGAACACGAGTGAGATCGTCACTGCATGAATCCCTCTTCGCTCATGAGAATGTCCGCTGAGCTTTTGGCATCGTAGAAAAGGTCCGAGGCTTGTGTCACGTCCTCGTTCATCACCGTTGATCGTCCGCTGAGTTGCGCATTGACCCGCGACGGCGTCAGCAGCTGCCCCGCGTATCGTAACGTGGCCCTCTCGCCAACGGCCGCCAGGGCCTCCAACGCCGTCTCCTCAATGTCGATATCCTCCGCTTGCGCTCGGATCCGCAAAATCTCCACCATGTGCTGATGCTCGTACGTCTCTGTTGCAATCACGAGGATCCGGTCCAGGAGATCGCCGGGGATTCCATGGGGAGACTCGACATCCTCGGTGCCGCGCACGAGGCAATTGCCGCGGTTCGACGCAAAAATCACGATCGGCGCGATCGGACTCTCCAACGCTCTGTGCAGGTATGTGAAGCACTCCAGGTCCAGCATGTGTACTTCGTCGATAAAAAGTACTCCGGGCACCAGTTCAGCTATTCCTTCTTTCAAGTATCGGTTCACAACCTGGCCCGAACATTTTTTTCAAATTCCATAATTAAATCCAATGAACAACGAGTAAGGAAAGCGAGGTTACTCTTTAGGCGAAGAAAGTCGTGATCACGCCATGAACCATTTGCCTCTTTAGTCACCGCGGTTACACCCGCACTCAGTCCAATTGTTGAAAACATAACTACTGTGCTGTGCCAAGTTAAATGAATTTGAAGCCTTCATCCGATTTAATTCCAGGAAAGTTATATCTGGCTTTCGCTTCTTTCCCGTTTTCCTTCTAATAAATCCAATGTGACAACAAGATGTTTCTCGCACTGATCATCCAAAAATTTGAAGATCGAGTTTTTCGGATTTTTTCCTGCAACGCCCATTCTTTACTGAAAAAATGTATACGAGAAAGCACCCGCAAAGTGGAGGAATTCAATAATAAAATTTATTATGAGTCAGAAATACAGTAATTCGCTTTTATTCAAAAAGTCGTCTAATAAGGTAATGGATATAAAATTTACCTTATTGATTTCCTTCCTAAGCTTATCGGTGATTTCTGTTTTCCGGCCTTTGATGATGTGCCCCATGATGGAGAAGATGTCCTGGCCGCCGTGGTTCTGCGGTTGCGCATTGGCCTCGTCCAGGTCATGCAAAGTGATGTCTTGCACGACTTCCCGCTTTTTGTGCACTTCACCTTTCGGCAACGGCACGAATTCGTCCGTCTCAAGGTCGAACTCGGCAGCATAAGCATCCATCCGACCTTGACGCTTCACGGCGCCGGTGTTTGTTTCGATATAGATTACATCTCCGACAGCGACCTTCTCCTGCTGCAACGCTTCGAAAACCGTCGGGTCTAGTTTCAACTGCTTCGTGCCCTTCGAGGTTCTCAACCTTCAAAAAAGAAATCCGTCAACTAATATTCGAATATTTTCAAAAGCAATCAAAGAGAATAACCCATCACAGTGAGTTGAAAATGCCATCTCTTTCCCAAAAAAGTCTCGTCAGTGAGCGAAGAACTTCAACCAGATGGAACATGGAAGGCATGAATATAATTTACTCTTTGAGGCCACATCGAAGATTTTAAATTCTTCCAGCAGTGATTCCCAACCTGACCTCAGCTCCAGGAAAAATAATTCATCAACTATGAGCAGAAAACAAATATTGAAGATTTCAGAAATTAAATGACAGTTTATTAGAGCCCACAAAATATCTAAAAAGAAATAATACTGTGTACATGCATGAAGAGATAGCATTTCCAAAGAAAAATAAAATTATGAATTGTGAAGTAGGTCTAGAGACCGTTGCCATTGAAGCATATTTTTTAAGGGCATCATAGACAAATAGAGAAGCCCTATTCATTAAAACTAAGAACAGCATCAGGAATGAAACTACTATACTTACCCAACAATGACACCAGCAATGGTTTTTCCATATCCACCCATGGTGTTTTCGATCTCTTGCGGGGTCAGCTCCGTAACTTCCCCTTCATACACTTCTTTTGTTTCCTTCACTCTCAGACCAATAGCCCGTCTGAAGTTCTCCATCAAAACCTCAGTTTTCTTAACTTCTGAACTGTAGACTTCTGAGCCAACCATGGGCCGGAAGGGAACTTTGGAACCCAGCTCCTTTGCAATCGCGGTGGCGATTGCAGTCTTACCTGAGCCTGGGGGACCCACAAGAAGCACAGCTCTGCCCGCAAATTTGCCGGAATTGATTAGATCCACTAGAAAGCCGGCAGCTTCTCGGGCTTTTTCTTGTCCAACCAGCCCCGAAGCTATTGGAATCGGCATACGAGCTTTGTCCAGACCAAGGCCCTTGATGTGACTGTGAGCGGCAACACGGGCTGCCTGGCCCACAGCTTTCATCTCTTCTATCTTCATTTTCGCGCACCTTACACGGTATTCCTGCGAAAAATAAATACAATAAGGACCAATTCTGGCAACAACCAAAAATCATCGCCATCGGAATAATATAATTTCAAAGTTGGTAATTCGGAAATATCTTATTTTTAAACAGTCGTAAGACCCGTATAATAATTGATGGCTAAGTGATGCTGCACTACGAGGTTCGGAAGCGTTATCAAAAAAAGAAAGCAAGAAGAGGCAAGTAGAAAAACATGAACATATGCAAGTGATATTTTTCTTCCAAACATATTGCAAAATCGAAGCATGAGAAAAACAGCGATCTTCAAAGGGGGTCATCAAGATTTGGCCTTCTTTCCTCGTCCGTCGGAAATGGTGTATTTGTCGTAATTCTTGTGTGGGTCGTACGGTTCCCAGCGACTCGCGGGGAAAATATGCTTATTCTTCTCGTACCACGACCGCGTCAGAACCTTGCCAGCGTGCGATTCTTCCTTTTCCACGGAAGCGTCGTTCACCAGTCGAATATCGTCATGGACGTCGAATGCAAACAATGGACCACTTTTTCCACGAGCCTAAGGAAAGAAAAAAACACACATCAGGAAGAGGTTGAGCGATCATGAAAATATTTCAGTAGTATACTGTAGTACCAAAAAACGAAATGTGCGTTGTTTCTTCGAAGCAGGAATGGAATTCGGAAAAAATGTAACGAACTCCAAATATACTGCTATGAAGAGGGATTGATCTCCCTGGGATTTACAACACTCGTTCTCACTCAGACGAGAACAAATGCGAATAGACCAGGTTTGGAAATTGATCGAAAACAAGAGATAAAAAACCTAAATAATGTTTACAGGGGCGTTACAAAAATTATGAGGCCAACATAAATAATAAACTAGTGCCTTTCTAAAATTTATGCGATAAAAAGCTTCGGAAATGTTGCAGAAGAACTCACTTTTGTCACGATGAAGTCATAGAATGAATAGTGATGAGGAATAATCAGATCCTCCTTAACATACATCAACTGGTCTGCAGAAACAGTACGCAATTCAGGAAACTGCTTCCGAAGCATTTCTAAAGCTTTTTGCAGAAACTGGTACATGGTTTGGCCCTTCTTCATCTTGACACTGTTTCGGTGGCCGGACCCGTCCCAGTAGCTGAAGGTGATTTCAATCTCTTCTTTCTTCACCTCTTCTTGCTTGATGACCCATTCTTGACGTAGTTGTTCTCGCAGCACGTTTTCTTCCTCTTCGCGGTTTTTGTCGGGCAGGAAGCTCGTGTCCACGGCTGGGTCCTTGCCTAGACTGCGTATTTTCTTTGGTGAGGATGGTTTATCGTCGTCGTCGTCGTCGTCTTCTTCTTCGTCTTGGTCCTCTTCTGGATCAAAAGACAGCGCTTGAATTTGAGCCTTCTGACGATTCTTTTCGCGTTCTTTCGCCTTCTCTATCCGACGCTGCTGTTTTCGCAATTCTTCCTCTTTCTTGGCGATTTGACGCTCACGAGCTTGAACAATATTCTCCTGCTTTGCTTTCATTTCCTCAAGAGTCACGAGACCAATGGTTGAGGACTGAAAGAAACGAAGGACAATGCATCCATAAACACGCAATCCACGAATGCATGCCCTAGTTAGAAAACAAGAAAAATCTACACATAGAACCTTTCCCGTCATCCTCACCTTTAGCTGCTGCTCAACAGCATCATAATGAGTAGCGAATTTCGACCCAATCGCAGATATTTTCAAATCATTCTCAATCTTTTTTCGACGTAATTCCGCTTCTTCCAGCTCCTTTTCACGCTTTTTTATCAACTGCATCGCTCTACCAGCCTCGCTGGCAGCTCCCTTATAAATCGCCATTTTCACTCGCTCGAAGAAACAAAAAAAAGGAAGAAACAAATCTGCAAAGGGATGGCAAAAAGCGTGAACATTTCAGGGCGTCAGCGGTTCATTTCACGCTTAGAAATCACGCCAAAGAGAATGAATTCTTTTACTCACGAAATCCAACCAATCAAAATGAAATCATGCTTCAAGTAACAAAAAGCAATCCAGAACGAGAGAAACGCACACATTTGTTTGTCATACCTAACTATTGATAATATGAAAGAAAACGGGACAGAAAAGGGGGAATGGCCAATGTAACAAGTAAAAAAAAAGAAGCGTCGGAAGATAGGTAAATTTTCATCAATAGTCTTGCGCATTGAAGCCGCCATATTGCCCTTCCTGTGTGTCATAGTACTCTTTTGGCTCCTTCTTGACAAATCCGCCTCCACCAAAACCTCCTCCCCCTCCATACTCGTATCCTGGAACGGAAACGGGACGAAATTATACGACCGCACAATAAAATCATGTATCCCTCTTCATACATATAACCGGAATATCACCGATAGCATTACGAACTAAGTAACGTAACTTCTCGAGAAACACTCATTAATGAACACCACGACGAAGACGAAGTGAATGAATAATTTAAAACCAATAATGAATTATTTCAATAGCCACCTCAGCCAAAGACGGAAAATCAGCGTTTAATCGAAATTGCCGAACGAATGCTGAGAACTACAGTGCAGTACCGTTCATGCATGGAACAAATGCGGGGCAAATATAACAAGTATGAACTCGGATTTTTTTTTTTTTTTGATAAACACATAATTGAATTTTTAGGAATTACCGGCGGCGTCGGGTTCTTCCTTGATGTCGGTCTTGACGCGGACATCCATGTCCTCACGCATGCGGTCGCTGCGTCGGTCTCCGCCACGACGCCTGTCCCTCGACCGAGACCGTCGTCTCCTGTCCCGGTCCCTGTCTCCGCGGCGTTCGCGGTCCCTGTCCCTGGAACGAGACCTGCGGCGCCGGTCCTCGTCGCCCTTTCTGTCGCGGTCCCTGCGACCACGATCGCGATCTCGGTCCCTGTCCCTCTCTCTTTCCCTGCAAACAAACGCCCGCCACTGTTACCAAAAGTCCATGTGCACTTGAAAACAACAACAAAAGTTCCGTGCTCACCTGGTTTTCAGGCCGCGGTCCCGCGACGGCGACCGAGCGGCGGCGGCGAAACGATCCCTATCCGCCGTCTGCTTCCCGTATCCGTCTTCTCGACCAGATACCTTTATGTTCACATCGGAACCGCCTCTTCGCGTCCCGCCCAGGCCACCTCCTGTATCGCAACATTGTCGCCACGCCCGAACAAATATATCAATGGACTTCACGTACTACTTACAACTTCAAAACGGTTACCCATTCAAAGAATCCTCGTCACGAGGGTTATTACGTCCATTCTTTCTTGGAAGCTCCGAACTTTGATGCTTTCAAATTAGTGGCAAGCAAAACATACGCTCAAATCATCGTAAATAAACCTCGTACGATCATCGCTTGAGGGAAAAAAATTAGTGATGGCTATCTTTCATCGATCATCTCTTGATTGGAGATGAAAACATCGGAATATTCAAAATTTCAAGCAGCTGAGAAAATAAATGTTTCCATTAGAGAAACAACGCGATTAAAGATGTTCAATACCATCTTCAGGATGACGTCAAATTTTCTTTATAATTCTTACAATTAGTATTTCCGAATTTTACATCAGAAGATTCAACTCCATTTTGGTCGAAATGAACGAAACTATGTCTCTTATTCAAGTCCAGTGGTGATAAAAAGGCTGCAAATAAAGAAAAGGCCTCGGAACATGACAGCCAGTAGAAGTTCGAACTTGATAGCGTCGGAAAGATCGCACACGAAGATTTTAAGCTCACGCTGCATTAATTCAAATTCGAATTTCGACGCCGGGGTAAAACAAAACAGTACTTTAAACGGCATTGACGTACCAGCCATGAGTGAATGCTACAGAAAAAAACATCTTTGAATGCGTCCTCAGTCATAGCGAGTGAGTAGCATTTGAGAGTGAACTTCACCGTTTTCCAACTTCGCGCTATTAAGAATTACAAAAGAAACTTGCGCATGACACCAGTTATGACATTGTACAAAATTTTCTCAGCGACAAATTCATGAGATCTCGGCAACCAGAATCTGTACCCTTTCTCTCCGTAACCATGCCTCAGAAGGGGCGGACAAACGGAAGGAGATGAGCTTCGGTTACGAGCAGGGAACAATTAAGACTCACCGAGGCGTCGAGGGAGCCATCCCTTTACCGTATGTCCCCGCTCGACGTCGACGAGGACGCGGCGTCCGTCGATCTTTCTGCCGTCCGCGTGCTTGTAAGCGGCTGCTCGTCACGATTCCGATCGCATTTTAAATTTTTTCAACAATTTTCAAACCCAACGACGTCACCATACCCACCACATCGCAGTCGTCGCCATTGAGAAAAACGGAATGAAAAACCACCAAATCACGACAAGTCGAAACAGAACTTGTTCATTCGTTCAAAAGCCCTATTCTCAACTCTCCCGATTTAAGGCCGAATCATCTTTGAAAGATGTTATGTGTTTCCCCAGGGGAATCCGTAGTTCTTCCTTCCCATCCCAAGACGTGCCTCAGACTGAATTCTTGCGCAGAATCTCTCCTTACCTCAATTGGATACAGTTTGAATTTGACAAACGAAAAAAAATAACCTTTCTTACTTTCTTTACCTCAGCCGTGACTCATAAAATGAGATCCGTCGGAAGCGGGCCAGTTCATTTGAGCCGTTGGGGTTCGTCACGCGATACTCACCACCAACCACAACAAATGACTTACCATTCTCGTCCGGAACACTTTTCTCCTAACGAAATTTAAAATGAGTACTTACTAAGAAAGCTCATACAAACCGAGTCGACGGCTTCCTATACCCCCTTTTCTCGAAATGGTCGCTCCGCGCTTTTCTGGCATCCATACCAACCCCTTGCCTTACCTCCTCATTCACAAATCTCAAGTCTATTGCTTTGGAGAACCAGTACCGTTTACAAACCGAGAACACGCGTCCCGAAAAACGAACCGCTGACTCCAGTCTTTCCCGAAGACAGGCAATAAAAAGAACACGTGTTCTCGGCTTCGAGAGAGAAAAATCACACATCTCTTACCCTGAGTCTTACCCATCGTTATACGTCTGATTCTCAACGAACTATACAAACCTATCCAACAGCGTGTTTTGCGCACGAAAACGCCAAGTGCCTTCGATCGCAATATTTTGGAAACAAAGCCGAGGATCGGCATTCCCACAGATTTTGGACGGGGAGAATGGGAGAAAGAAGCGAACGAAACATATCAGCTTTCAACGTAATGATAGGAATTTCCAAAGGGAGGGGCTCGGCGTAAACTGAAGTTCTGTGTCCGAATAATACAGCGAAAATCTGCTTCAACAAAGACAACTCACCGTGCATGTCACGCTCATGCTCATATTCAATGAATGCATAACCACGTGGTTTTGATGCTTCTTTGTCCTGACACATAGTGATCTGAACAGAAAATGCATGAAGGGTTACTGAGCATTTCGAAGTAATTGGAAGAATGAATTTACCTTTCGAATCGGTCCGAATTCTTCAAATTCTCGTCGCAGCTTCGACTCCGAAGTATCGTAATTCTGAAACATAAAAACCTCTAATCAATCAAGAACAACAGTAAAGAAAGAAAACAGACTTACTATTCTCGCAATGAAAAGGGTTCTGAAGGCTTCTGCTTCACTGAACTGATCCTGATTAGCACTCCCTGAGATTGAAAAGACAATACCGGGGGAAATAAACGTTACGATGCAGTCAAACACTAGATAATAAATTCAAAGGTACTCAACGCACACATCGCGATTTCTTGTTCGAGTTTGTAGGCGATCTGTTCGTTTTTCTCCCTTCTTTTCCGTTCTTGACGCTCATCCCGGGTTTCGACTTTCACGGGAGGCGGCGTAGCTTCAGGATCCTACATACTTAAAAATTCAATCACTGAAGTAATTCAATTGAGAAACAAAAATCTAACCTCGAACTTCGAGAGAAACGCGGATACACCTGCATATCCATTTGTTTTTCTCTCGTGGGGGAGTTTGTCCGTAGGTTGTATGTAAGGGATCGGATCTCTCGGAGCGAAGAGGGCCAACAAGTTAGGGGGCAGAAACGCGGTCATTCTACCGCCGAATGTTGCAAAACGTCGGCAGCCTTGAGTCTGCAAATGCAGAATGGCGTTCACTACAATTCAGCAGCACAAAATCAAGAGGGTTGTGACACTCGATCTCATATCGACGAATGAAACCAGCAGCAACACTATTCCGAATACAAATTTCACTCACGAGATTCGCTAAAATTGGTTCAGAATCGCCGTCACCCACGGAAAATCCCCACAAATTCTATGAACGCGGTCAAGTTTAACGAAAATCAGGGCAGATTCACTCACTTCCGGTGTCGGACTAATCGCGTCTCCGCCGGAATGAAAGAGACCATTCGATTCGCAACCGTAATGGTGCACAACTTTTAGACAGGGTGCAGCCTTTTTTTGGAAGTAAATACTAGATGTCACTATTCTCAACATGATTGTATTCTCCACATGCCCACATAACCAAGTTGGGTGTCCGTTATTCTCACAGTACAGTACAGAAGTACTCCACTTTTCTGCTTGCATGGTGCATGAATCTTGATTCCTGTTCACAGATCACACAAACGAATACGGCGAGGAAAATGTCCTGTTTTGTATGTGTACATGATGAAAAAAAACAATGATTTCACAACTAACTCGACCATGCTGTATTCATGTATACAGTCTAGAACTTGAAGTATGTTCAACCATAATAAATCGGTTATCACAAATTACATGTATAGTACACTGTACAGAGTATTAAAAATATTCAGGACAGATTTGGGAATAAATCCCATAGTTTTAGTATTAGCTTTTCTTGTACGCAAATTAATGTATTGTTACTATACAGTATTGTACACGTATTAGGGTGAAAACCTACGAAAAGACAATCAAGCATCCATATTGATTGCGTCATTCAAAATCGTTCGGTAACACTTATATGCGGTATTCGTTATTCATTACACAAATGGCCTGACCCGTATGTACGCGCATGAAGGGATATACAGTACTGTATTCGCAGATCCACCCGTAAGTTTCTTCACTGATTTCTTTTTCACGCCTACGTACATACCAAAGATCACAAGCCATAATCTTTTACAAGACGTCTGCATGCAGCACATCAAAATGTGAAAAGTTGAACCTGCTGATTCATCTATATATAGCAGATTCACTACAGTATATACCAACTCTCTCTACAACGAATCTCAGGAACCGGAGAAAACGTCCTTGTGGGGAACCCCTACGACAAGGAGTTCACGCTGCGGGATCACGCAGAAAAGAACACCGCAATTGCATTATAGCATTATACATTACTGCATCCTCCAGCATTTCTTTGTGCGTGAGATCCAAGAAACAAGTAACCGGAGAGCTATAGGATCAAAGATGAATTTAATTTGAATGGATTCCGAGTACACAGCATCGCGTAAAGCGTGACTCTTACAGAAGGTTCCACCCCAATGGTGTTCTCCAAAATTATATAACAGAGAGGTACAGTCTAAACTTGTTTCCATTGCACTTGAAGCAATGGTATGGAAAACCATCCAAAAACTTCGGGTTCACCGCATTTATAAAGTCATGGTATTCAAGTTTGATCCAGTCAATTGATGCATTTAGGCTAAAATTAATTTGACGAATGTTCAATTAACCCGCTTTATAAATCACTTGATTATGTGCCAAGCCTAGGTCCTGTTGTTTTCAGCTGTTCAAATTCCATCGTGCGTATTCTCGAAAAAAATTAGTCCGAAGTACATTTTCAGACTTTCAGGTCATGAAAGGAGAGAAATTAGCTTTTATTGCCTTTCGCCCCCGAAGAACAAACATCGTATCTTCCAAGTACAGTAAATGTTTTTCATACTTTTTGGCGAAGAGAAAATCACACGGACAAGTTAAATCTCAACTTATCGCGAAAGGTATCTCAAAATGAAAATTTCTTTTTGAATTCATGTCAATTTCCCTTCAGTGGCAAGGTTGAAACATTTTTTTCCACCAGACGGAAATAAAAACTTCTATAAAAAAAAAAAACCACTCGCCGGACCCACCAGGAGTGCAGCGAAACTCAGGCAGGCGTAGTATCCCACTTAAATTGCATGACAAAAATGGACTGCAATCATTACATCATGAAAAAATGATACACTAACTTCATCATTGCATTCCCAATCCCATCAACGCAGGTTAACATACGGTAGAGAAATCAAAAACAAAACAAAACAGCGAATTACAGGAAATTGTCATCGCGTGGAAAAATCGCAGAAAAAAATCATTCAATCGTAGCATTCAAATGTTTGCTTCATCCAGACAAGTCGTTCTCGTCGAATAGGCTCTGCTCATACAGTTCCGCCGTCACGAGTCTACCACCAAAGTACCTGTTGTTCAACGCGGCTTTCGCACTTTCTGCTTCTGAAATGAGAATATAAAATAAATTGATGACCAGCATGAAACCGATGCACGGACAAGCTCAACAATCAACGGATTTTTCACGAACCACAATTCCATCATATTCTGAGGTAACAACGAAGTACAGGGATTTCGAATGAAACTCGCACTGAACAGTACTTGCAGTGATCAGCAATCGAGCTACCAAAATGAAAAATAGAGTCCCGCCGTACGAAGGATATTCTCCATTTTCTAAACAATTCTGTACCAACATCGGTAAAGTCAGGAAAACTAGAGATCGCAATGAAGGGAAAAAAAAGTCTTCAACTCAGCAACGATGAGGTCGAAAACTTACCCGATGGCGCAGAGAACTCGACGAAAATTTTGACAATGACCTCGGCATCTTCTTCTTCTCCCTGGCGCTCGTTATATATAATGACGTGACTAACGGAGCCAAATTTGGAGCACTCCTCGCTGATTTCGTCCTGCAGCGAGTCGTCCACATCCTCTGGCCCGACCATGTTGCGGAGTATCACGACCCGCGACTCGGGCTTTGTTCTCATCAGCCGCTGCATCACCAGCTGCCTGGCGGTCTGACCCTTTATCGACATGTCCTCCTGCTGCTTCAGCGACATCGTGTCATTATTCTCGTTCTCCATCAATTTCTTGGCGATTTCCTCTTGTTGCTTCATCTGCACAAGCAAGTGTCTCAATTTTTATATATTTTCGAGGAACAGGATCGACATAGGCTCCAATTTTATAAAAATAATGAAAAAAAACCCTCTACAACACAAAACATTTCCATCAACAACAAAACAAACCTCCTAAAATGAGTTTCTCAGTTGAAATATTGGTCAAGAAAATACGAGTCTTGACAAACCTTAGCTTCCTGCTGAGCTTTGGCAATGGCCTCAGCAGGATTGACTGGTGGGATGACTGGCAGTGCCACAGGCACAGGCAATGTTGTAGCAACGGATACGGGAGGGATCACGATGCCTGGGGCGCCGAGTCCAGTGGGAGTTGGGATGGCAATTCCTGGCGGAGGTATCACAGCCATGCCTGGAGGCGTGGGAAGCAGGCCGGCTCCAGGGCGACCAAATCCACCGAAGCCGCCCATACCGCCTACACCCATCCCCATAGCTCCGATTCCCATGCCCATTGCACCTGGCATGCTTCCGGCTGACGGACAGCAAAATCCAAATTACGATTTCTGAACTCACTCTTTTTATTTGTACAAGACGAACGCACTCAACATACCCAATCCTCCAAGCCCCATTGCTCCAGCATGCGCGCCGAGAACCCCTGCACCGAGGCCCGGTGCCATCGGCATCCCGAAGCCTCCTACCTTTGCTGACCCGAGAGTTTGTGATGCTGCTAAGACAGATAACAAGGCAAAAATTGTTTCCCCCCGAACAAGAAAAACATTATCGTTTTATCACACACCGATTGCCATAGTGTTGGAGACGACAGCATCAATAGCTTGAATTTTAGCTGTTGCAGCAGCGGCTGCCACAGCAGATGCAGTAGGCAGTGAGCCTGCCAGACCACCCAGGCCAGGAGGACCACCTGTCCCTTGAAAATACTGAATGGCTTGCGCTAGGGCATCCGGTGGTGTACACGCTTTCCCAACCCTCAAAAATTGTCCGCCCAAATCAAAAAGATTCATGGAAGACACAGCCTCGTCTGCGCCCTGGACTGAATCGTATTCAATAAAGCCATAGCCTTTATGCTTCCCTGGTACGGTCGTCATTGCAAGTTTGCAGCTTTTTATTCTTCCGAACGCTTCGAAAACACTGAAAAATTTTGAAAACGCGAATGAAATTAAAGTTCGCATTAAAACATGAATTGTGAAGAGCCATGCATCGTTTCAACAGACAAAATTAATCCCGAGCCAAATGACTAACTTTTTTCCCTTCAAGGAGGAAAACACAACAATGCAGTCACCTTTTGATTTCTTCCTCGGTGAGATCAGAGTGCACGGATGCAATATAAATCCGATTATACGCTCTAGCTTCTTGAATAACTTCCTCTATGACCGATTGCGCTTGCGGCATATTACTCGGCCTTCCAACCTAAAAGCACGACCGATAAAATATGAATATTCTTGAGCTGACGACGACGTCAACTTACTTTGATATTTCTACCACCAATGACCACACCATTCATTTGTTCCAAAGCCAATTGTGCAGCTTCCGGGATATCATACTCAACAAATGCGAAGCCCTTGTGTTTCTGTGTAATCGGATCCCATGACATGTTGATCGACTTAATTGGTCCGAACGGAGAAAATGCTTGACGAATAGTGTCTTCTCTCAACTCGAAGCTAATGCTTCCGACGTAAACCCTAGACATTAACAGAAAGAACAAAATAATAAATGAAATCTCACCACGAATTCAAGCATTACGAGAAAACACGAACCTGCACATGAGCACCAATGCCTGATGCCTCTGTAGAGATCTTGCTTGCTGCAATTAGTGACGAGACAAATGAATTAATTTTGCATTTGGAGCACTTGGGAGGAACATTTTGCACACAAACCTGTTGTTGATGGGCTAGCGTTTGTTTCATAAGCACCATTTTGATGCTTTGCTCCATCGCATATTTCTTTGCTTTAGCAATTGCCTCTTGCTGACTTTTGCTTAGTTTGGCCAAATTCTGTCCGAGAAGAGTCGGGACCAGACTCAATTCACGTCTTCCAGCGGGTCCTGAAAATGTCAATTTCCACTTGATGAGATTTTTGCCCGGCAGATACTAAAAAAAAAAAAAAGGCACTTACCCGCAACCAGAACTCCAGACTGTTCGATTGAGTCTCCCCTCGCATCTTCTGCAAATCAAGAAAAGGCGTTAAACACAAGCAAACGTCTTCCCAAGCCAAACGAAAATAACCTCAGGGAAATCACGCGCGTCTTCATAACTAGTTATTTCACACCATCGGCCAAGATATGCATTTTGATCGAATGAAGATAATAATTATGAATGCACGCTCATCATTGTTCCATACATGTGGGGGGTCATTACCGACTTCTCCACTCGGCTTTTCGGCTCGTCGTCTTCGAGGCGGAATCTTTTCGCACCTCACCGATTCGTAGTACGGCGAAAACATTCGTCAAGAGAAAAAAACAGACGAAATAAAGCGGGGAAAGAAGGAGAGCAGGAGGGTGATGAAGAAGAGGAGAAGAAGAAAGAGGACAAACAGAGAGAGTTGGAGAAGGACAGACAGAGTCAGAGAGGAACATAAAAATCCCACGTGAATATCTCCTCTTGAGTAAGCATAACCTTTTTTTTTTAGCTACGTATTCCTCGCGACTTTCCTCCCACCCGGCACGAAAAGCAATGCCAACGGAATTAAACGACAAACCAGAAGAAGCTACATCGTGTGTTGAGCTGCCTCCGGCGGAAAATTGGAGCACAGTCTCACGACTGAGCATCTCGTCACGAAGCTTATCTGAAACACTGGTAGACAAGAGAAAAAGAACAAAACATAGGCCTGAAATCGTGTTCACTCTCAGCAGTAAGCTCAAACATACGCCGACGTCGTTTTCCCCTTCGTGGCGGCCAGCTTTCACAACGGGATGACAGTCCCCTGCGGAACAACCAACACCACCCACGATAACCGCGCGGAGGAGAAAAAAAGAACAAAACCAGCGATTCAGGCAAAACGACTTCCATCATCTCATGTCGTAAGCACAACAACAACGTAAGATGTGAACAAAGGCCCTTCGAAAAATCTCACCTTTCCCCGCGCTTCCCACTTGCTGCTCCAGCTTTAACTCCTGGCCAATTCCGATCCCATTATTCTGCAATGAGACAATTCATAGACAGAAACCAATTCAATACTTTACTGCACATACAGTATTCTCTACGGCACTAGATGAAGTGAGCCACAAACGTAGTTCTTCGACAAATCTGCTTGATGCTCAGATTCAAAAATGTCAACTACAGTAAAATTCCGTTACAACGAATCTCGTCTCGTTCTTTTGTCCCGGCAGTTCCTTCATAGAAACAAGGCCATAATAATCTCTCTTTAAATAACTAATCTTCCACTGAAATCTCATTCGTACAGTACAAGGAATTTTTGCCCAGCTTCATAGAAAAATCAAACCTTTTTGAAAATAAAATGTAATTCAATACGGAAAAAATAACAAAGAAGATGTTATTCTTAGACCTCACTAGAGCTCTTCAGAGAATCATGCAATGGATCTTCTTTAAAGGAACAATACAGCATGTCTAGAGGAATGCACCTCGTACTCAAGAAAAAAATGGGTGTGCTTGCATGAATGGCTTCAAAAGTAGGTAATTTTTATACCCGCAATTTTATTTTTCCAGAAACCAGCACGAGAGTTGAAAATTTGAAGTAAGCCAGATTAGATATACAAGTATTTGATGCAGAGGTACTTCACAATGTTCATTACCCAGTTCCCACAAAATTTCACCAATACAGGTTTTTAAAACCACGAATCTCAACACGAAGAATTTTTCGATACGAGATTTTACTGAACTATCTCTATGTATTATCAAACTGGGCTTCCCGAAATTGCATCATACGTGACTCTTTCAAATCAGAGCCAGTCTCGCGATTAATAGATATTATTAGCTGCGTAAATTATCTTCTATAGCATTTACGTTACAAGTTACAAGACTCGCCATACAATACTCTGCTTTACTTCATTTTTCCGAGAAACACATAACTCGTGACTCACCATGATAAAAGGATTGACATCCAGTCCACCAGCGTTTGGCGGCATCCCCAACAAGGACTGGTTCACTGCAGTCATCATCCTTACTCACACCAAAGCAATAATCACTTGGGTATCACCCAATTAATGCTTCGTCCTTTCTACATGACAAGAAAAAAATGCTTCAATCTTCAGGATGAATTTGATATACAGGAGGGAAATCGAAGAATCAATAGATTTCGGTGGAAACGAAAAAGATACTTTATTGTCATCAGTCCACCGCCGGGCATCCACAAATTGCTCAAAAATGAGGATTCTTCCAATTTCCTTTCTCAACACAAACCGGAAATACGAACGCATCGTGCGAACACACCGAAAAAGGCACCGCCTCACACCCTCAATGCACTGGATTTAAAAACAGGCATTTAAAGCACAGTTTCACTCGTTCAGACCATAACCCGGGAACTGCAAGTGTTTCAACATGCAAATGTCTTAAAACTCACCACGGAAGACAAACGTCAGGGAAGTGACGGCGTACACAACCATTTCCTCACGAACCCAGAACTTACTTTTCGAACACAATCCCAAGGAACATTTCGGGGTCCACAATATCAGCATTCTTTCTCAGCGAAACACACTCAACTCGACTTCGCAATCAATACTAGCAAGCGCAAACAGTTAAACTCAACTCAGTCTCACTAATTAAAACTATATCGAACACTCCTAATGATGAGCAACACTTGTTTTTGAACATAACATGCGAAAACGAACTACTGTACACGAAGACAGTCATTTCACACGGAAAACAAGGCGGCTGAATTTTTCACGAGCATTTCAGTTTCCTATCGAAGAGCTGTCCCAAGTGACATGAGTTAACTTTTTACTTCTACATCGCTTTATAGTAAAAATAATTTTAACAGCACCCAAACCTGAGCTGCATACCGAACGGCACGCAGCTCGAGGATTATAACCAAGTCCGACTTACCCTCAGGCCTCAGGTCATTAGTAACTTCATCGATCTAATGAATGCAATGCTGGGACAGCTCTCCGAGTAGATCCCAAATACACGGTCCAAGTAAATACCGCACGATTACTGCAGAATCATGTCAAAAATCCGTCGAGTGACAATACGATAATCAAACAAAACTTTGGAATTCTCGAAAAGCTTCATGGGCTTGAAGAGGCTGAATCGCGCCAACAACCCGAGTTTCGCGGCAACCATCGCATGAACAAATACAGGAACTATACAGTACACAGGAATGACGCATATGAATTGGATTGGATGGGAACACATTCTTTCAGACGTCGACACCGGGAACAGTGTGGAGCCGCTTGTGAGCCGCAAAAGAGCTAGAAAACTGAGTTTTGTACCCGCACTCAAGGCAAGAATACCTGGGATTATTCCTGTGCGAACCCATGTGAACATCGTATCCTTGCTTGACATGGAACACTTTGTTGCAAATCGAACACTTATACTCAACCAGACCTGGGAGCTTGACGCCGTGCTTCTTGAACATGTGGGCAATGAAGTGAGGCCCGCACCGGTAACTCTGCCCACACATTTCACACGTCTTTTCCGTGGGCTGCGGGGTGAACGGGCGTCCCATACCGTGCTTTTCCCACAAGTGACGGCGAAGCGACTTGCGCTGCTTGTAAAACACCTGCATGCACACGTCACATCCATATTTTCCGTTCATCGACGTCACATGCTTCATAACGTGAGAATTATACTTGGTAGCCTCAACGGTTTCCCCGCACGTGTCGCACACCTTCAACTCCTTCAATTCACACTTGCGTTTGTGTATCTCTAGACTGCTCTTGCTGATAATTTGAACCCCACAGCGGTCACAGGAAAACTTGAGCGTGCACTGATGCTCCTTTTCTCGATGGGTTGCGAGTGACGACTCGAACTTGAACCAAGCATTGCAGATTTCGCAACAATATGGATGATCATTCGAATCGCAGAGCAAACGGTGGTTAACTAAATCCACGGAAGACTTGCACTTGAATGGGCACTTTGAGCAGACCAGAAACTCGTCTTCCTTGAGTTCGCAATCACGTGTATATTCTTCATCTGACAGGAGGTCGTCGGACATGTGTAGTCCAGTCAGATCGGTGTACTTATCGCCATTAGTCTCAGCATCGCCGAAAAAGTCGTCAACGTGGGCGGTCGTCGTTTCGAGAACACTGTCCACTACCCTCTGGCGAAATTCGCGCAACTGACCAACTCGAGAATCCACTTGACTTTGCAATTCGTCACATGAGAACACAAGTTCATGACAACGGTGGCAGATACTCGGTTGTCCCAATGCCGTCTCCCCGGCAGGAATAACGTCTTTGGATAGAAGGAACTCTTCGATTGTAGAAGTACGATTAGGTAATTTCTCAGTAATCCGACGCCACGATGGATTCAAGTCTTCGCAACGCGTGCCACAGACAACGCAGCATTCTACATTCATAGTCTACACAAAATGCTCTCCAACGAAGCCGGAGAAGTGAACACAGGTAATCAGAACGCCTGAAAAAATAGAAAACGCATGCAAAATTTTCTCGTCATGCAGCTACAAGATCTGATGGTAAAACAATGGGAACATCGTGCACACTACGAATGGACATGCTTTCAAAAGTCAAACAAAACAAGAAATGATCGTGCAAATTGAAAACCATAATCATTACACGGCATCTCTCGTGTACCACTTGCAAACGAGAGGTGCACTGACAAAGTGAACAAAAATAGGATTTCTACGTTGCACAGAGATAACGACTCGCCACACGAACATCCGGTTAATTCAGTGGGGAAACCCATCAGGCAAACGCAGATGCCAATTCAACGGAAAAATCAACGCAGCCTTTTTCTACTTCCGCCGATAGCTCAATTACGTCAGTGTGTAGGAAAACGTACGAATGAAGAAATTGTTACAGTTCTGTGCGCCCATGGAGCATCAAAGAGCAACAACTGAAAGTCTAAGTACAATGGGGTCTCGGCTACCCATGGCAGGTGGCCATCCAATTCAACCTAAAAGTCATAGCATTGTACTGCATGATTATTGACGCCAGCACAAGCATCAGATGCACTCTCGATCAAGATTACCGTATGGGGTATATAATTTTCAATGAACGCATCCGATAAAATTTGATTAAGTAGAAAAGCGAAGGTAGCAACTATGGATTCCAAAAATTCTCAATCCATCTGCAGTAAAATAGTGAAGTTGGATTTTGCACCTGCAACTGCGAGAGGCAAGAAAATCTCATCCCTAACCTGAAGAAATCACCATTTAATTTAATTTCCAGTCGTCTGTCAATTCACACGCCGTTTTGCCGCGTCATACAGATATTATGAAGAGGAAATTCCCACCAGTAAAACGTACACATTGTCAGTCAGCAACGATTCGCTTTACTCCGTCAGCAAATTCCACGCAGGAGTTTGAAGAAATCCCTTTCCTACGGAGACTCCCGCCCTTCAAGGTATCAAAAAACAATGGACAAAAATCGAGGATATTTCGAAACAAAATTCTGCGCTCCTGGAATTTGCCAGCCCGTTTCAGCACTAACCAGTGCTCTTACTCTTCTTCGGAACACGGTAAACGCCGACGACAACGGCGTGATCACGCTCATAGGGCTCCAACGTCAACTGTTCCATAGGGCGTAATTTCTCAGACTGCAACTTTTTCACTTCCCCGGCGAAAACTGCCTCTGGTTCAGCTGTTGAGTCGATGCAATTTGCCTACGAACAAAGAGGAACTCAATACCGTGTATTCGTCGTGGGAAAAAATCATTAAAAATTTTCTCTCGAGATTGAAAACGGTTTTTCGTTTTTTCACAACTGCCTCTAGTACAGTACATTATAAATCAATTTTTTCGCTAGGAACTAGATTAGATCCATTATTCCAGCAACAGGACACACACAACTCGAATACAATTAGCGACACATGTCTTCTATCCTTCCACTCAAAAAATATAAATAATTTCGCTTGCGATACTTGAGAACATGAGCAAGAAGGAAATCGAACCTTTATAGAGATCACGAAATGTCCGCCAACTTTGAGGAAGTACTGGGCGTTGAGGGCAACGATACGAGCTTGGTCCGGCTGGGCAACGTCCGCAAACACCGTGTCCACCATGCCAACCACCATTCGGTACTTGTGCGGGTGCCTGGCGTCCTCAATGATCGGTACTATGTTCGGCCTTTTCTTTGCCACATTCAACAGATCTCGCCCGGAACGATGAGAAAATTCAACCGCATACACGATTCCTTCCTGATTAAATTTGAAGAAGCAAGTTAGTAAATTTTCATAGGTAAACATGGGGTGTGACCTTAATTTTGTTTTTTCTATCGTTAGCGAATCGAATAGTTGACATATAAGCCGCCATGGAAACAAAAATTACAAACGCATATCAAAAGCTTATTGACATTAAAGAGACGGAACAAAGGAGGCACCAACCGGTCCCACAATGTCCGAAACGTGCGACACCGTTGTTCCAGATGCAGCACCGAGATAGAGCACTTTGCTGCCTGGTGGCATGTGAATGGCGTCCACTCCGCCTAAAATGGCAGCTCCAAGCTTTGATCGAAAGGGGTTCCAAACGCGATACTCAACCTTCTCTCCCTCAACGTCCTTAAAAAATAAAAATCATATGATATTTCAACCGCAAGAATTCACAAATATATTTTTCAAGCAGCTAACCCCATCAACGGATATACGCTTCTCGCCATACACGGAATCCCCGGGCACAATGTTGCGGGTAAGCAATGCCTGTTCCTTGCCCTTGGCAATGAAAACTCCAGGATGACGATGGGGTTCCACCACCACGTTCCTTCCAGCTCCAAAACCCCCTCCTGCTCAAAGTCAAGGCATAATTAGAATCCCGCGAATGCATATCATTACCCATTAACCAATAATTTATAAGACACGCTCCCATCACTGGATTATTCATTCCCGCGCCATCAATATTTAGACATACGTAACCGGCTCAGAGACGTGTAAGATACAAAGAATCGTGGATATCCGGAGTCAAGGCATATCTATATATAATCATGAATTTTTTCCCGAACAGAATGCGCAATGTCAACGGAGAAAAAAATCTTCAAGCGGCGGGTAAATCAACCCCACGGATTTAGCTACTCATTTTGCTGAAGAGTTTTCCCTTGTTCATCTCCCGCCCCTTCAGAATCATGGGACACAGGAATTTCGTAGGTTATTTACATTACTATTGGGCGCAAATATTCGGTCAACTCACCTCTTCCACCACGACCTCGTGGAGTTCCTCTACCACCGCCCCCACCTCGTCCTCGGAAGCCTCCACGATCACCACCGCCACCGCGGCCAAAACCACCTCGACCGCCGCCTCTGCCGCCACCACCTCTGCCAAATCCTCCGCGGCCACCGCCGCCTCGGTCCCCAAATCCGCCTCTTGGTGTAAACCCTGAGACCAGTACATTTTAAAAATCTTTACTCAACTGAATCCAAATTTCAATAGACTCACCTGGCCTCATCTCATAAACGAGCACACAATGCCCCTCTGATGCACAGAAATAAAATACTACAAACGGATCTGAAAATACAAAGAATAAAATTCAGAATCCTCATCTCCTCGGAAAGAAACGTCAACGAGAAGTCTATTGCATCAAACGTTCAAAAACAGCCTAGGCATCACAACGCGGTATGCTTCTTCATCGCCTGAAAAAAAAATCAGAACAAGAATAAAGTTTTAATCTTCGGTCATCTCAATCAAAATATTTACCCTTTCGTATATAGTCCACGACACACACGACAACAACGTCCTCCGAAGAAGCCGCGGAACAAGTCCTCGAAAAAATCCTGGAAATCCAGATTCCTAGAAAATACAATAAACATAATACTGCACATCCCTTTGCTTGCCATAAATGAAGGGACCCAAAGGCCGCCATGATTTGTGAGTCACTTTTAGGGCAATTTCTGGATTCCACGACTTATTTTTTTAACTCAATGGTGCATAAAACATGTCTTCCCTTCTCGATACTTCAAAAAGTAAGGTGACTACCATTAGGTCATACAGTTGCGGATATTTATTCTCGCCGTTTCCGATTATCTATTATCGTAATTCTTTTTCTTGGCAAGTACTGAGCAACTAGTAAGATTTAGGCATTAATGCGAGAACCAATTTGTATTTTTAAAATTCTATTGACTGTAAATAAAATAATTTTCGGTGACTTTCACAACGACGTTGCAAGAGATCAAATCATTTCATATATTTTCAAAATCATGCGACTGCATAGATGCTCATACTCATAAATACTCGACCTTAGCTTACCAGGGAACTTATGTTTCGAAATGATCTGGATGAAGAGGTAGCCTCTTAATTTTACCTTTACAATAAGCCTCACTGCTTCAACACCGGTCAGTTTTGCCTCGCTGCATTGCACCTTCGTCTTCAAAACATCAGGAGGATGCGTTAGTATTGAAGCTACTATGCCAGCGAACAAGGCACAACCAAAGTGATACTTCACTTCATTTCCTGCACGAAGAGAAACGAACGTTCAATAGAATGAAACCAATCTCAAGCATCCTTAACGTCGCCAAGATACCCGACGCTTCGTCTCAAAATTTCCGTCATGTCAGGAATTTCGTTGAAGTCACGAGATTTACGTAACGTGTGCGATAACATTACAAAGCCGTACGATTCCATTTCACGCCAACATACTGTTAAAATTATCGTGAAGGTTACGGAAGTGGGAACAATACGAGTTTTACAGTATTTTTTACCCGGGGAACAATAGTTAATCTGCTGGATATCGTAGAATAAGCAGCTCCTCGCGTCAATCTAGTCTCAAAGACATTACAACACTAACATCCAACGCAGAAAAGGCACAAGCATCGAAAGTCATAAAAAAGGTTTCCTTCCATCAGCAATTTCAAGCAGCTTTACCTTCTATAACAACCTTTTTGGCCTGTGTGTACAAGGCCAAATACAGAGCAGCAAACGGCACGTCCCTCACAAGCGTCGGGACAGCCCCCGCAAACATGCTCCTCACTCCTCTTTCAGAAAGGATGGAAAATGCTTGGAACACGTTTTTGTACTCAAACAATCCGCTCTGAATACAAACGTGGAATCCTAACACGCGTTCATTAACCCTTCGAAGCATATTGCCAGAGCCCGAGTCGCATACAAACCTCAAACTGCGTCTTCAAAACCGTGGCGGGCATCAGAAGTAGCCCGGCTAAAGTTCTCGACGCCGCTCCAACCAAACCCGCTTCTACAAATGTCATTTCTCGTTTCCCTTCCGTCAGGATTGTTTTCAGCGAATGCATGAAGCCAAAATATATTCCAATCCCTGGAACTGCTCGCAAGAGCGCCTAAAATACCCGAAACTCTGGCAAAACGAAATTAAAATCCCAAGACAAGAAACTCAACTGGACTCAACCCTCTCCACAAACCGAAAACTCCGTCCCGTCTTACAACTATCATCCCGACGGATATCATCGACGATGGCCTGGAACAAAATTTTTCTTGCACAGAAATAATCATTTAATCTCAATAATTTTAAAGCAATTTACCCGGATGATGTCTGCAGCCTCGTTTTGAGAAGCTCGAAAGGCTGGAATAGAATCGTAGTGGCCGCTCCACTCACCAACCCTGACGTTATCGCTGTTCCAATACCCCCCTTCAACAAAATCCATCGTTCTTACTTCAATAATCAGATAACTACTCTACGGCAGTTGCGCACTCACGTAAGTCGACATTCTTGCTTCACCTTATTTCGACATCCTGAGAAAACGGACGCACAAATTACTTCTCACATACAAGAGCAATAATTCGTAAAACGTACAGGTCCTGGACTCTAATGAATGTTAATGAGTTAGTCAAAACCACCACGTTTATTAGAACAGCACCGGATTACTAAAGAAAAAGAGGAAAAACATGGGGGGCGCACCGCGGAATGTGAAGCACGGCGTAACATGCTCTAGTATCACGCAAGCCAGGACACAGATAAAATCTTCCATTAAGACTAGAGAGCACAGCAAAATGGGAGTAAGCAACACGATACGCGTTCAAGCTTGTTCGCCAAGAATATTTTTCGATTCTTTCCCGAGTGGATCGAGTTCGGCAAAAGCGTTCAACCACGAAGTGGGCTTCGATTCTGGCTTTGAGTCTCCCGCAGCGGGGTTTTCTAGATTGAGTCTTTGGCTAATCCAATCCGAAGGTTCAGTCTTGTTTTGCTCCAAGAGCTGACTAGGCAAGAAGCCACTCATCCCGTCATTGCCAGTCAGCAGGTCGCCAGAAACAGTCTCGAAGATTGAACGAATGTCGTCTGAAACTATGTTATCGCACGCCCCAAAGAGAGTCAGTTCTGTCAAGCCGAGAACATCGTCGAGCTGGCAATCAACTGGTTCATTCCGAGCTTCACGCTCACCTAGCCTACTTTCGGAAAACTTTTTGAATAGCTCATCCAAATCCTCGGTGGCTTCTTTCGCAATTTCAAGCTCGCCAAGCAAATCCTCTTTCAACTGAGCGTCAGTAAGGTCAACGTCAATGAGAGCTTCGCTGTTGTCAAGCACAATATCAGAACTTTTCTCCAAATCCAAAGAAATATTCGAATCCGCGCCTTTTGCGTCCAAGTTATCTTTCGCGAAGTTATTGGAATTGATTGCGGTTAAAGCGGCTTCACAAGCTTTATCCGTTTTGTTCCAGTAAGTGGTGACATTTTCTTGGTATAGCTGCAACGCGTGCGAAAACATGTTGCATCTTGAGGCAGCAAGCAAGTCAACCTTCTGCATACAATCCAGTTTGTCCTTGTCGAACCGTTGCTTGCTCGATCGAACTTGATGCTGGACTTTCCGAAACTTTTCCAATTGTTTATATGCATCAGGATTCAATTCCTCGGAAATTTCCTTCATCCAAATCAGCATCCCACGATACTCTTGACGATTCTTCTCCGTTTTCAGCACTGTGCGCAAGCAATCCTGGACTGCACGCAACCGGTAGGTCTCTATTTCTTGTTGCAACCGATCGATTGGCTCTTTAATCGCTAATGCATAGTAAGCTGAGTATGACATAACTTTCCCAACGGAGAACATCACTTTTCCGGGGTACGCTTTTTCTGATTTTCCCACTTCCTTCAAAAATCTACCGAGTGAGTTCTGTGCCTGAGCAAGGTGGCATACCGTCTGTTGATACAAAAGAACGGCTTTGTGGAGCTCTACCGATGACACTTGAATGCTTCTGAAGAGTTCTAGCTTCATGTCAAGTTCGGAATCTGACGCCGTCACATCCTTGTCGCTTTTACTCCGGTTCAATTTCCGAGTCACAGCTTCTTTGGCGACGTAAAATTGATGCTGAAATTTCTCAAGGGTCGAAGAATCACCGTAAGCTTGACTTTCAATGTACTTATCGAAAGATAAGCCGCTGACTCCACCCAGAGATGCTCCATAGTTCATGATGAATGTTAGTCAACAAGACCCAGAATTAGTGGAGGTGTCAGTGGGTTATACTTGGGAAACATGCGTTCATCGCCGATCAAGAACTAAGTCGAAGAAATTTTGCCACTGCTTCACGCGGGTTCACCAAATGTCTGCCAAAAACACGATACAAACATTAGGCGTTCACACTAACACATAAAAAATTACGGAGCATAGGGAATATCTGCGCGACAGGCAACCTTAAAACGCAATTTCAGTCAACAGATTCACAAAGCAAAGGACAATCACACTCGAACTAAAGGCAAAGTTACCACAGTATGAATGCCAAAGTCAGCTGAATTGGGTTAACTCTGGTTCTACCTTCGTTAACTACACGGCATTGCCTTGACTACCCAAGCACACCGGTAGTGGGGCAGACCGAGCATACTCCCCAAATACCCAGGCACAGCCAACCTCCCCAGAAGGAGGATTAGTCCACATCCGCGGAGTGCAATTCTGCAGAGGCCTTGTATAGACCACAATGGCACACAAAGCAGGCAAAGTTTACTATGAGGAGTTAAAGCATGGTAAAAATTGTTTGAAAATGAATGAAACAAGAAAATAAAAAAGAACAATATTTTACCATGCTTCAAGTGTATATCCCACCTAACCTAAACTATCATGAATGCAACTAGAAAAGGTAGCAAGAACAATATTTTAAAGTTGAATCTCTGTGAGTCAAATTTCTAGGGACCAGGAAATAATTTTGAATTAAGGAGGTTTGGATTTTTGGAGGTTTCCAGTTAAGAAAACAAACACTTTTGTTGTGAGGAGAAGTGAAAAAAGCATGGGAAATTGTAAACAAGGAGATTCTGGGCCTAAACTTACTCCTTAATGAGTTTACACCTTGCTGAACTTGAAGGCAGGGATTCATCTTCTCCATTAGCCTTTCACTTCCTTTCAAGATGCATTAAATCATTTTCTTTAATGATTTTCACTATCATATTTCAAGGAAATAATAACCAGAAGTCTTCAGAAAATTCAACTTCCAGAGGTTTTCAAGAGAAAGACTTTTGGTTACAGAGGTTTTTAAATGCATTGATTCTATTAAGCAGATTCATACAGAGACTTGAAACATTTGAATTTAGGGAGGAATTTAAATTAGGGGTTTGACTTATTGAGGTTTACCTGTACAATACTTTAACACCTCATATTAAACTTGGCACACTTTTTGTGCCATCATGGTCTATGACAAGGCCTCCTGTGAAAAAATATTTTGGCAGAATCCAAGATTTGTTTGCCACAGTAAACACTGCTTCAAGAATCACCATGGAATTGGCTTTCCTCTGAATTTTGTTGAATGAACTGTACTGCAAGTGTTCACCACGGAACTTCACTCCGCAGATTTGAATAGAGCCGCCAGACGGCATATCACACACTGGAGTACACCTCTATCCATTTCAGAAGTTTTATATCCATTTCATCAGAAATACTTAGGAACATAATAGGTCTTAAATTATATCTTTTTAGGAAGCACATACTATTTATTACCCATTTTCCGCAAATCTCCAATCTGAATTGTGTAAAACCCATCAATATTGATGCACAACTTTTCATATGCAATTTTCATCAGATCTCTGGGCATTATTTTGTTGTCATGACATTTTACTGTGCTGAACATATGAGCGGAGTAGTACAACACAGCTTTCAACTTCCAGCAATACTTCATTTTGAGTGTTTTTTTTCTGTATAAATTTATGAAGCAGAAAAAATGAAAAGGAAAATTCATTCATAATCATCTGTACAGGATCACAGGGAATAAGATTTTTGCAATGACATAGGTTCAATCCTATCCATCTTGATAAAAACGACACGAAGTTCTGTAATTCATCAAACCTTGAAAGATGTAAGAATCTTCAAGTCAATAATTTTGAGGGACGAAAAATTGAGTTGGACTCACAAGCATTTTTGTCGGGGGGGGTGGAAAATAATTTCATGAATTGTCAATTGGTGATATTCTCGGCCTTACATTAGTTCATACTGCATGGAGTTGACATGATTGAAAACAGGCCATATTGGGTTCATTTTTGCTTATTTGGTATTTAGCTTCCTTTCAAAATAAAACATGAAGCTAGTTATTTTCAAGGTTTTCTCTTTCATATGCCAATAATAATATTGCCAATCAAATGCCTACAGAAAATTGCACTTCAAACGTTTGGGGGCAAGAAAGCCTTTGACTGATGAGTGGGCTTTCCCACTCATTGTGGAGGTTTGAATTATCAACGCTCAACTGTTTTCTCTCTTCAACGGGAATGGTGAGACGTAATAGTCCGAATATTTTGGAAACTGCGAAATCCATTGGGTAGTTTATTCTGCATGACAATAAGGATTCAACACAGTACAAGGTGCAAAATGAGTGAGAATTACTCTATAAAGGTTGTAAAAATAGATTTTCACTTCTATACATCATGCATACACGGTAATATAGTGGTGCCCCAAAAATATACCGTTCCCATCAAAATTCAAGAAGCCAATAATACAGTATGTGTATTGAAAAATTGAGTTGGACTCACAAGCATTTTTGTCGGGGGGGGGGGGGGGTGGAAAATAATTTCATGAAATGTCAATTGGTGATATTCTCGGCCTTACATTAGTTCATACTGCATGGAGTTGACATGATTGAAAAGAGGCCATATTGGGTTCATTTTTGCTTATTTGGTATTTAGCTTCCTTTCAAAATAAAACATGAAGCTAGTTATTTTCAAGGTTTTCTCTTTCATATGCCAATAATAATATTTCCAATCAAATGCCTACAGAAAATTGCACTTCAAACGTTTGGGGGCAAGAAAGCCTTTGACTGACGAGTGGGCTTTCCCACTCATTGTGGAGGTTTCAATTATCAACGCTCAACTGTATTATATGAGGAGGAGTTGAGTGTAAAACCATTTTTTTTCTCCAAGATTATGAGAGTTTTATTATTTAAGCAAGAAAGGGGTGGTTGGTAGGGGTGTAACGTATAAATTGTACATGCATAATTGAGCTGGAGCTAGATGATTTACGGAAATTTCATTAAGCTGTTCTGAATGGGTTAGTTCAGTGTAAAAAAAAACCCCTTTATTGTGGAAATGAACTTATTCCCCATTGCATCCACCAGAATATTTTCTCTCTTCAACGGGAATGGTGAAAAGTAATAGTCCGAATATTTTGGAAACTGCGAAATCCATTGGGTAGTTTATTTTGCATGACAATAAGGATTCAACACAGTACAAGGTGCAAAATGAGTGAGAAAATGAGATATTTCCAACATTTTTATCTAAAAGTGAAGATATGTAGTACGTATGTGCCATTATATCACCACGGGGTTTTTATATGGCAAGGGTAGTTTTAAGTTCTTCGGTTATTATGTCATACACATAGGAAATTTCGTCATTTTCTAGTTTACCATGTGCTTTTGACATGAATATCAAATCCCAAAGAGACGTGGGACAACTTTTCTATTACCTTTGTACTGTACTGTATTTTTTATTGGAAATAAACGAATAAACATGCACCATCATGCGTTCTTTTAATTCACCGGCGAGTAAACATATGCGGGTAATAGATTTGTCCTATTCTAAGCAGGTTTTTTTAATAGGAAAAGTTCGGAAGCGGAAAGAATAGTAAGGTTCCTATACATCATGCGACTGTGCTTTCTTACAATTCGACGTACTATCTGTTTGTTAATATTGCTGTTTACAGTATTCACATAGGAATGCATGCAGCCACAAGAATTGATCAAGAAGGTGCATAGGCTACTGATCAATGATAAACATTCCGAAACATCTGCTAAGCACACAGTTTACACTGGACTTTACTGATCAGGCATAATTCGTCCATAATAATACCCTCATCTTCGGCACCAGTGTTCGTAGTTAGTAAGTTTTGATGACAGCTTATAATAAACTCCATCATATTTGTACCGTGCGCACAGATGAATGGTGCCGCAAACAATGCTATTTTATGTAGGGTTATGTCCGACGTATAAACGGACATGTTGGTGATGAGCATTTTCAAGGTAAATATTGTACAAACTGTATATAAGAGTCTATACAGTATTACCATACACGTTATAGCTTGTAAGCAAGTGCATAAGCCATAAAGTTCCAACGTACAAATCTGTCACGGATATGTGTCCTTCGCAATACTCTCGGTGTATTTTACATGAATATAATACCAATCTTCATGTAAGGTGATGTTTTTTTAAACCTTCGTCGAGAGCACATGCTACCGTGAGCTGGCGGCGCAATATGCATGCGATGTAACTTCGCAAGGAAGAAGTAGAGGGGTTCAATATTATTCAATGCAATAAATTTCTATCATCTATCCTCGTTACGCAACAGGTAATTAATTTCGATAGCTTTACAACGAAAAGTAATCGTTGAGTTGTACTGGCTGCGGAACGAAAACACTAATCATCGCTCAAAGTGCAAATGTCAAAACTAATTATTCACATTATACTGATTGAACGCAGTAAAATTTTTGTTTTGCTTCTGATTAATCGTTGAGTTGTACTGGCTGCGGAACGAAAACACTAATCATCGCTCAAAGTGCAAATGTCAAAACTAATTATTCACATTACTGTATACTGATTGAACGCAGTAAAATTTTTGTTTTGCTTCTAATTTGTACTGTAGTTTAAAACCTCGTTCAGACTATACAGTATACACATTTAGTAATTTGAACGCCGGAAACAATTTTTGCTTTTGCTTCTACTTTTGTGCTGTATAGCAATTAATAAGCCATGCACAACATAATAATCATACTTAGTTCGGGAGTACCATAACAATCCATCAAATCACCTATTTGGCGATGATGGAAATGAATGATCACGCGCAACATACGAATATATCTTCCAGCTGTACACATTTTGGAGAGACTCAAATAACACAAGAGAGATAAAACAAGAATGCTCCAAGTTATCAGAAAGAAACTGGATGAACTAATGACTTCATTAATCCCTCAGCTTGCATCCTCCTTATGAATGGTCTCCTCCTGATGGCGGATGATGAGCGTACAGCACCGGGGTGTAACCATGTCAAAGTTCTCGGTATACACACGCATTGACCCGGCTCATCCGACGCCGATCGACACGATCTGCTGTTCTTCGTAATCGCCGCAAGTCAAGAGGTGCACATGGGCAGATTACGAACGGTTGGTTCCGTTCCAACACCCCTGCCCATTTGCGAACACCATTTTCCTGTAAAACACCAGTCAAAATACACGTTTCCTCTAAATGCACTGTACCGTGTTGCTGTGCGATCAGATGATCACGTCACCTTTTGCTGGGCTCGTCGCTGCCGTTGGGTCAGTCGCCAACGGCAGAGACGATCCCAGCACGGCAGCAGGTGCGAAGCAATATATTTAAATATTAAACGTGGGATTCTCAAGCGGGAATACGATTTTTCCAGATATAAAATTAGGCTTCTATTTTAGCGCACTAGGTATGTAAAACAATCCGCCTATATATAAAATACAACGAAGCTATCAAACGTATTCCTCAATTCAAGATTCATGAATTGTCGAAGAAAAACACCTGAAGGGTATAGCTTTACATAAGTTTTGTCAATCTTCTGCTTTTCTCGCTTGGAAGCACTACAATAAGGAAGTAAAGCCCACTACAAGGATATACAGCTGATCTACTTTCATTTTCACGAATATTTTGGATCTTATTGTTACTTGAAAATCTGTTCTGATAATCGCAAAACTCTGCTACTCTAACGCTGTTTAAAAATTGTTTTTCATTGTCTATTGGTAATTAGAGGTTGCCCCAGTAAGTCACGAATGCAAGCAAAATAAATCCTTCAAAAAATGAACATCGCCTCAATTAGGATTTACAAGGATAGTTCTAAGGACTCTAAATCCGAAACTTGGGCCGGGACATAAACAACCTCATTTCAAAGGATTTGAAAAGCTTTACATTCACCTCGAAAGCATCCATGACCGAGAGATCCTTCCCGTGCCGATGCCTTGAGATTCTGACTTGAAGTGAAGTCTAGTTGAATGATCTGGACCCCTCACATTATTCCAGAGGAACTGGATCTCGCTGGTGCTGTAGTAGACGTCGACGCAAGTTTTCCAAACGACTTCAAGTCCGTCGTACTCAGACAATCCGACAATAGAAGCGATATTGTCGTGAATGAAAAGACGACGAAGAACATCATTCCATCATAATCCTTCCTTGCTTATTCTGGCGATACTATCATCTTTTTCTCATCCGTTGAAGAGCTTAAGCTGTTGTACGGCACGATTACGCAAAGCAAAAAAAAGAATCGATTCGCAATTAATACTGGGGTCATTTGTCAAATAGGGGATGCATTGTACTTACTGCGTTTTCGACAATACTCCCGGTCATCCTTGATAACGGGCCCACCATCAGCAACAGCAACATCATCACGGACACCCCTGCGAGTGGCGGCTGCTGATGCTCACGCTCATGGATTCCGCAAATTTCACCGACATCACTCACGGAAACCCCCCTTCTAGGACAAGACGAGAGGAAAATGTTAGTCTCTTCCCTGAGTTACCGCATAAGCCCTTCTTGGAAATGGAACAGAGTCAATCGCCACCGGACTCTATATAGCTACACACACTATGAAACACGAAAATAAGCCAGTATACCGCTACTAATGCTATAACCGCAATCGACACGACATCACCTAGACCTCATCCCCCGGCAAGAGTCAGACACGAACTGAATGACGACGAAATTTTGTCGGAAACGCCGCAACTTCCACGCAATGAACCGGAGGCATAAAAAAAAACTCGAAATCCCTCGAGAGGAGATTCCCTCTCGAATATGCAAGCATTCATCACAGAGGTACCCAACCAAAAGCCCCCTGTACTATAAGCTCCCCCAAGCTTAATTTTTTGTTAAAATATAGATGAGAGTTTCATCATAACAGTATTTTTTGTGTACTCATCAACAATATTTACAAATTTTTGATGATCTGAAGTGCTTCGAAAATTGAAGCATGCGTTATTTGTTTCTTCATTAAATTTAACAACAAATATCCAAATCTGATATGTGGTTTTCTGCATAAGCTGCTCTTGTCAGGTTTCTATTCTCCATTACACAGCAACTTTGGATTGAGACATTGACTTGAGAAAATGGAAAGGTAGGGAATGCACAGATTTCGAGGTAATCATGGGGGAGCAGTTTCAGAAAGTGCGCGGGTCAGAAACATGTGAAAAATTGAGGGATTGCGTATCATTCAAACTTAGGCATACGAATTTGATTAATCATTAGGTCTTTTGCTAAAAGTATGATTCAAGAAGTTCTGATTCCTTTGGACCACAGACTGAATTTCGGTTCTTGGGCGTTGAGCGGAAAATTACAGTACAACAACCCATGCAGAACTTGATTGAATTAAGCAATTGATTTCCTGAATTCGTCCAATCCATTTTGTTGCCTGAAGAAGAGTGGATTCAAATTGATCTTCAATGGGGTAATTTTTTTGGACCATACACTTTTCTCTCATCGTGTTTCTTATTGGTTAATGAATCGGGGAAATTCCCTATGTCGATTGCAACCGCGGGAGGCAATGAAATGTATAAATACGGTACCCTGATATGGTTTACTGTACTACACTAGGCTATTTTGGTGGTGCGTCATTGGACAAAAATGCGTATCAAATTGAGGATATTTGTCTAGGATTAAATCCAAAAGCCCCCTTTGATCCCTGCCCTTTTGCACAAAAGGGGGCTTTTGGTCATTTCAGATTTGGGGGATTTCAGAGGGGGTATTTGGACTGAACACATCACAGAAGACCGGTTGCACCGCAACTTCCGTTTACAGTAGCAGACTTCCACACCACAATGCCACTTCAGATCGAACCGATTATACGTACAGCGCCTTATCACGAATACATGAACCAGTTTTACCTTCTTTCGCGATTTTTCGAAATTTCTTTGTGCCTCACGAAATACGTTGCATCATGTCATGATATGGACGAGAGCTTCACGATAACGAAAAAAACAAAGATAATTAGTACTACTCATTGTTTCAATTAATAAAGAACGATGGAGTATGTTTCACATTCTGTTCCAATGATACTTATTACGTGTAGTACCTAATACATAAGTTGATACATTTTTGGAAAATATATACAGTATAATAGGCTTCATATACTGTATATATACGGCTTATGCATTATACAGGCGTCGTTCTATGCAAGAAAAAGCTCTGAATCAAAACGTAGCTTCTGCTGCGTGTCATCAACTGTTTGTGCTGCCTATGCTCGAACTGACAATGAGCTTTTCATTATTTATCCCACGCATACGTAAGAACAAACCGTAAAAAAAATCTGAAGATAGTGCGGCGAGGGGAAATGGAAGCTCGATTATCATCATCAACGCATTTCAACTCCTTCATCATCTCCCAAATGCACATTATTCGCGGGAGTACTGTACTAAAATGTGCCCATCCCCGTTACACCGTCCTTTTTCTACATAGCCCCGGTTGACTGCGTCTTATTTTCAAACGGACTATCGGAAAGGTGAGCGTCGCTCAAGTCGACGTGCTTTTCTTTCGGATCGAATTGCTCACGAAATTCAGAAGAAACGAAGGAAAGAACATAAACAGCACCAGGAAAAGCCCAGCAAGAAACTACCTTATTATAGAAGACTCATCGATCTACCACGATTATGCGACCAGAATCATCAGACTCTTAATAAGCTTAAACGGCTCAATTATTGTTGTACGCTAGCAATGATGGCTTTTTCTACGTAAGTTGAGAAACTCACACCTGTACAACTTGATTACTTTTTACTGTGAATAATTTTGAACATTATTTTATCGTACTGTTGGCAGTACAGTACAGTACAGTATTAGCAAATGCCATATATATCCTAGCTCGGGATAACGCTGAAAGGTTGGTTCTTTTCGTTTTTGTAGATGTCGTATCTGCATGGTATCATGCACAACGGCGCCCTCTTCTATATTCCGTTTTGGGACAGAACGTGGAGTAGCATTTATTTAAAGATTTTCTGCAGTGTCGACAGTCAAGAGCACAGATGTGGGCATCAGCTTGTAGTACAATGAAGCACACTCCTGAAAAAATTGTGCAAAAGTGAAAAACAATCAGGTTTTCATAATGCTGCTCATTGCAAATAATGATCCACTGAAATATGTCAAAGTTGTTGAGGCTTCTGCCGCTGCATTATACGTCCAAATAAATTTGTCGCGTATATACAGTATATATATATATATATATGTATATACATTCGCCACACAGCAGCATGACAAAAAAAAACATCAGCAGATCGTCTTCTCTAATGTACCCGTTGACACATTTCCAAAATCAGCATCGCATAAGGTCGTTCCGTAGACATAGATTGATTCCGTCCATGGAATGGATCTACTCTGTGTTGTGCTTCACGCGTCAGCGCGACATTGATTCGCTCGGATTGGGTCAGTGCTGACAGGGCTTGTCTTTTACTATAGCGACCGAGCATTCGTTCTGCTGCATGCGGCTGGAGAAAGAACAGTAAGATGGGTCTCATAGAGTCATATAGAGAAAAAGAAAAGAAAATAATAATATTAATGATAATAATAATAAATAAAAATATACAACACACAGAAAAGGTTGGGCTTTGGCCATGTTTCCTCTCCTTTTCCATATTATTTCCCTGCTGCTGGCTCGAGTCAGTTGTTTATAGCTACTGTACATGGAAAGGACAAAGAACATAATGCAGAAAAAAGTTTCGTTTCCCATTGTATTTATATATATATTGTCGCCAATATGTCGGCTCTTATTGGCGCGGAATGACGACGACGTTGTTGCGTGAGCTGCTGCATGCTGCCATATATGGCTGCAGCTTCTATATTCCCCTGCTGCATGCTGCATGGGGTTGTTGCTCTACTCCTGCTGCTGCTAGACCGCCCTGCCTTGAGGCAGGATGAGAGACTCTATAGAGTCCAGATTCAGGGTAGAGTAGGCCCTGCCTGCCACACCGGCCTTGCACACTTGCACCCCAGCATGCTGCAGGAGCTCCTGTGCCGCGATTCTCATTCCTCCCCTGACCACCCCGTCCATCACATCTCCTTCATCCCACATACTGTACTGTACATACAAACTGTGCTGCATACTCCTTCTGCTGCTGATATGTATATATATATATATATATGTCAATGCTGCTGATGAGGACAGCAGCATTCATTTGGCCTTAATTCATCCTTTTTTTCCTCGCCCACCCCCCCCCTCCGTCACCCATGAATGAAATTAAAATTTAAAAATTTTAAATGCCTCAAATAAATTTGAAATTTGACATTAATTTATAGCCGTTTCTTATTTAGAACAAAACTTGCAGTTTTAGACAACTTTTTTTCTTCTATAGAAAATATTGCGCGTCTGATTCAAGTATTTTGGTGGTTGCATTTCTTTACTCCATTTGTCATATTATTCTGGTGGTCAGTGTAGTCACTCTTTCAATTACGTGTGTATGTGTGTGCTGTTTGGGTGTGTAAATGTGTGTGTTTAGCGTCAAGCTATTTAACCTGTTTGCATCTCATTACTGTTGCGTTTTGTCCAAGTATTTTTTTTTCCGTGTGTAAATAAAGCATTGATGGATTAAGGAAGCTAAGGTATACTGAATCATAATACTGTACCATGAAAAGTTTAATTTTTCTTCTGGAATCAGAATCCTTTCAGTATACCACAATTTATCGGAAAAGCCATGCAAAAATATCAGCAATTAAATTTACCAACGAAAAAAAAATCGGGAATGGGTTCAAATTATTATTGAGATAATAATGAAGCCATCTTGAATCTTTACTTAAACTTTAAAACAAATAACGGCCATATCCCAGCAGGACAACTTCGACGATTTTCAGACAGACTATACATGTGCTTTTGAAAAGTGAAAATTTCTCGAATCGATCGTCTTGATGACTGGGAAAACGCGAATAACGGAAGACTCCTTGTCGTGCAACTCGGTTTTGATCAACTACTGTACTAACATTATCATATCTTTATTGTTCACAGATAATCAGCAGTATAGTGATACGATTATCGAACGACGAAATAACATCAGTGGAGTGTTCTTGCAAATGGCGTAAGAAAAACAACTTATTGTGTCCACAATCCTATTCAGTTCCGGTGAGTTTATATTCCCTTTTCTTTTCTATATCCTCACGAAAATCTAGTGACTTACTACAAACTGT